TTTGTATTTTTTGAGCTATATGTGATGGTGCTCACCTTTCAAACCAGGTAAAATAACTTGTCTTTCAGCTCTGTAATGTACTTGAGAGATGTGTGAAGGCTGTTGAGAGGAGGAACCACACTAACCTTACTGTGGCTTTTGCAAGGAAATGCACTTGTTTGTGACCCCAGTATAAACTTGAGCATGCAGTGTCTGGACATGATGCAGTGAACAAGCTTGGACAGGAATTTATATCACAGTGGCCTCATTTTATATTCTTCATCTATGTTTGCACATTGTTTTTATTGATACAGAGGGGAGCTCAGTGAACAGCGTCATGGCTTCCTGTCCAAGAAAGATTTTAAACCCACATTTTCTAGCATCAGATGTGTGGCTTATTCCCATCCTCTTCTAAGCAGTGCAAAACAGTAAGGTCAGCTCTCTGCCCTACTGAAGAGACAGGATTGAGAAGGAAGTCATGTTGCTAATGAATAGATGTCATCCCAAGAGTACCCATGCTTGTCCTGTGACATCTGTAACAGAGGATGCTTTGACATGCTCTGGAGAGCTGCTCAGTATTTATGGAGCTGGATTGGTGCAGAGTGAAATAGCAATGTGTCATCACTGGAAACTGAAACCCAGTGTGCTTGCCCTAAAAGAGCTTCAATGCAGGCAGTTACTGTGCAGGCTTTCCCTGTGCTGTTTCTTTCAAGACTGCAGTCATCTTGAAAAACACCATATAAACCATGTCTTCATTTTCATGATCCTCTCAGCGATGAATATCTGGCATTTCTGCATGATCTTTGTAACACTAGTGTTAGATGCTTCTTTTTAGTGAGTTTTGCAACAAAGGCAGTGGTCTACAATGCTTGCTTGAATATGTTATGGCAGTCTTTGGATTGCAAATGCTTGTCCCACTGACATGGGATCCTGTAGAAGTGTCTGGTCTCAAAGAACAGCTTACCCAATGGATCAGGTCTCCCAGAATCTGCAGAAATGGCTTTTGGGATCAGCTGAGGTGTGCACACTTTGCTTTATTTTCCTTCATTTTTGATTGGTTCAGATGGTCCAAATATTTGCAGAACTCCATTAAGTCCTAGTTGGGATGAAGTCATAAGTTCCACTTTCCACCAAGTCATGGAGCCTGTCCAAATTAGTGTCAAAGCCTATATAATACCTTGGCTATATTGCAGGCTTGTATAGTATCAAGATCCTGTTTTCACAGCAGTTACATAGTTGTTACTTCAGTGAAGAATGATATGGCCCCTTATAAAGTGCACAAGCTGACGCCTGTTTTTTAATGTAATATTTACACTATTCAAGGAGCTAAAAGAAGGCTTTGCTTTAATAGATTCCTTCAGCTAATGTTTTTCCTTATACAGATGGGTTATTGTTTCCAGCTTTTGATACCTATGCAGCTTTATATATTAAAGGTCTATTTTTTTTTCTCTGTTGGTTGGTTTTTTGCCCTTCTCTCTGCTCCTGGAGCAAGGGAAAGGTTTTGCCAATACCTTCAAGTTGCCTTGAGGTTTTCTATGAATATATTAAAAAAAAAAGCCAACAAAAGAGCAACCCAACAACCTGGTTTTGCACCCCACACCACAGATTTAATTGCTTTTTATTTTCAATTCATCTTCCCCTTCTTGACAGAAAGCCTGGTGCAGCAATCTTTTAGCATGGACAGAACTTACATAATTTAGCCAGTTAAATGTTTATTTGTTTTGGGTTTTTTTCCTCAGCTGCTCTGATGTTACAGGTGTGAACGTGACTCTCTGTTAAAATGTCACTCAGGAGATTTCTGTAAATAAGTCTAATGACTTCATGGGGCAGGAACACAATCTACACGCTCAAGTATAAATGGCTTTCTGGGACTTCATATTGAAACAGAATGCCAGGTTTTATCCACATTATCATTTATCCTAGCAAAGTAAACCACACATTGACAACCATAAAATTCTGGTGTGAGCAGGGAGTGTGCAAGACCGCTGAGATTGAATGGACTCTTTTGCTTAATGTGATTCCAGACCAAAACAACTTCAGAAAGTGAAGATTGCTTACTGGGGTATCTGTTAAAGTTTTTTTAACCTCAGCAATGTACATCTTCTGTCTGGACTTTAATTCAGGAAAAAATCTTACCCATTGTGTTCCACTGAAACAATTTTTTCTCCAGTTTTATTTTAAAAAATAAGACTTAGATTAAGATTTCAGACTAATTTGTAGTAAATAGAGAATGGTCAAAAGCAGGCTATACCAAGGACCTTGCCTCATTGTCAAGCTAATCATATATACAGATATAATTTAGGGCATCAGAATCTTCTTGTCATTGGTTCTGATTGTGAGATTTCTAGTAGTTTAGGTTCAGGAAAGAAATTGTTCAGAATTCTGATTTTTTTTTTTTTTTTTTCTAGTGTATCTAACCTGATGCTTTTCAGTCTACACGTTTAACAAAGATATCTAGAAATGTTATTTGTAGCATTCAAGCATTTATACTTATTTTTCCCCCTAAAGAATCTTAAGGACAAAAAGTATTGTAGCTTATTTTGGAAGAGAAAGGATGAGTTCAGGCATTCCTTAATTTATGTGTGTTTGTTTCTTTATTTAGAATTCAGAATGAAGGCAGGAAAAATATAGAGAATACATGTATTGACTGTTCTGACAGTATTCTTGTCAGGTGTACTCTGCAAACTATTATAGTTGTCACTAGGACTTTTATCATTCTCTGCAGAGAAACATTTCAGAAGGTCACATGAGCACTCACTGCACCTCAGATGGGTGGCTCAGCCGGGTTCCCTGCAGAATGACCTTACTTCACACTTCTAGATAAGCTCCCAATTTCTGTTCTCTTTGAGGATGATAAGATTATCATATGAAAATAATGCTGGATGGATTTATCTGATGTTTGTTTTAATTTACTTTTCCATTGTCAAGGTCATATATTGATTTTTGCAAGGGAGGTTAAGGTCTGCCAAGTGTGAAATTGTTGTCAGGGTTGTGGCTGCCACTAGATATTTTTCTGCACAGAAAAGGGCAGAAAAAGGCAGTCTACCAAAAACATGAGGTGTGGCCATTCTAACTGGCTGTTGGTAGGGACTTGCATATTTCTGTAATGCTCTAGACATAAACATTTAACATAGATATGGGTCTGTCTGATTCCTGCTTATTGTGGCCAGAAAGGGAAGTAAAGAAAATCAGCAGAACTTCTCAATTAATACGAGAAATATCACTTTGTTATCAATTGCACCATGTATTATCATGAGGTGGTACATGGTGTGTGCATAGCGTTTGTTGATATAGTTGGTGTCTCTTATCACTTTGCCAACCTTTTATACTTTTGGTACAGTAATATTCATCTGTATGATGCTTTGTTTAATTCTTCTGTTCTTCTAGCTGTTCAGTTGGGTGCAAGGGATTAATAAAGACTTGTGACCTGTACTGTGTGACCTGACACTGACCTGACCTGTGTCTGCACTGCAGTCTTCCTCTAGATGAGGACAAAGCTGTTTTGTCAGTGTCATGAATAGAGATGTTCCTTCAGTTTATGTGTTGAAAATCCAGTGGAAGACAGGGGAAGATCCAAATCTCAGTCATGACTTTGTTTTTAATTCAAAATAGGAAAATTTTGAGTTGTGCAGAATTGTTGTGTGTTGGTATGTACCCTGGCAGGAAATTGTCAGGTACCAAGGTGTTTTCTGAATGTGGCTCAAAAACTGTTAGAGCTATTTCTTCTCATCTCTAAACCAAATAATGAAGGAATAGCTGAGGTACTCTGATAGGCCTATGCTTTTAATTTTGTTGTGTATATCTTCCAGGGTAGCTTTTCTAGTGTGAGTAAGCTTTCATACACAGAAAAGATTGGCAAGATCCACATTCTTCATACACCTTTGGTCATCCTTAGGATGAGTCAAGTGGTTCAATCTCTTACCATATGCTAGGAATGTTAGTGTTAGTTACTCTTGGTTTATAATGGGAGATGAGGATCTTGGAAAGCAATCCTCATGTTAACAATGACTTACACCTATGTAGAAATAAATATATTCATTAGAAGGAAATCTAATTTCCTTTGAGCAGTGAAGGAACAAAAAAGAATTGGTTCCTGAGTCAGTGTAGGTCTTCTTTTAGAAGGTTGATTGAGATTAGCCTACTGAAGATGATTTCAGGTAGATTACATGGGAGGTAAGGAGATAAGGATCAATACTTTTCCTGCTGTAACTGAGGGGATGCTTTTGTGGTCCTTTGGATGTTCTGAGATTTTGCTTGGCTTTACATGATATGGTAGGATTAGGACAGGATTGAAGAGAATATTTCAGTTGGAGGGACTGACAACAACTGCCTGACCAGTTCAGGACTGATCATATTAAAGCAAGTTGTTAAGGACATTGTCCAAATGCTTCTTAAATAATCAACAGTCCTGGGACATCAGCCACTTCTCTAGGGTGCCTTTTCCAGTGTCTGAACAACCTCTTGGTAAAGCAGTGCTTCCTAATGTCCAGGCTGAACCTCTTTTGGTTTATTACATCAAAACGATGCAGTCTTTATCTTCTTTTCAGGTTCCTATTTTTTCCTCCCCATAGCAGTTGTTAAACCTCTTTGTTGGTGAATTCCACCATCACTATAGCAGTAGAGAGACCAAATAATTTATAAGATCTGTCAGTATAAAGATACAAAATGTAAACCTGCTATCTGTAAATGGGCTGTCCTACTTGGAAACACAATATGTTTAAGGGACTGAGGTTTGCTGCTTAGATGCTAACAATAACTGTATCTCCATCAAACTTTATTTTTCTGTGTTCAATAATCTGAGCTGAAAGGGTTTCTTTTTATCTGGCATACCATGGTGACAGTGCTGACTTTACACTTTCAGAAATGTTTGTAATAAATGCCACACGTCCATGTGCATTGTACAAGAATACAGGGGAGATAACACAATAAAGAGCAGGGCAATGAAGAATCCCAGATGGTTCTTGAGTGGCTTTCATCCTGTAAAGTCATGTTGTGTAACCTTGCCTAACTTTCTGTTTCAGGAACAAGAAGATCCTAATAAGCTTGCTACCAGCTGGCCCGACTACTACATTGACCGCATCAATTCCATGGCAGCAGTAAGTTACCTCTCCTGCTAAACAGGGAAGATTTCCTACCACAGGGATGTGTTTCTTTAGGGAGAAGTCCTCGAAGGAAAACAATGTTAGCCCAAAGGCATAATGATTTAAAATAGGGCTTCCAAAAGAAGAGTATGAGGATTAAGAAAGAGTCCTGCTCTAGCATTAGAAAGCACTATAAATATTTCCTTTTTTTATTTCTACAATACTGAGCACTGAAGGCAACCAAATTAGGGTCTGAAATGAAAATTGAAGAGAATATTTGATGAATCAGCAAAAAGCAACTACTTAAAAACTAGGTGAAGTTATATTTTGTTGTATGGTTTCAAGTTGATTTGTATCCAATCTACAAAATAACACTTGGTTTCTTAGTTTAGTAGAAGAATTAAAGAAAAGGTAGTTATTTATATAAGATAATATCCAGTAATATAAGAGCACATAATTAAAAGAGCATAAGGCTGTAACACCTTAGACATAAGATACAAGCCAAGAAGGTATTTGAGGAAAACCTTTTTTAATTATCCCTCTTCAATAGTTGTATACTGTGTCTCTTCCTCCGAAACATCCAGTTAGGCTGGTCACAGCAGAATCAGAGCATCTGTATATAGTGTTCACTGATCTCCTTTGATTTGATAGATTTTACATTTTTAAATTTGATTTTTTTCCTGAACTTGTAGTCAAATTTTTCCTCCAATTACTCGTGTGCAGTGTCTACTCAGCTGTAGTTGATGGTTGTGCAAAAATGATGATAAGAGTTCTGTTCCTAGCATCTTAGGTAGTACACCTTGCTTGTTTACCTATGCTTTTATTTTAGATTAATAAAGACTTCTCTTCGCTTTTTGTACTGTTATGAGCTATGAAATCATTTCATAAAACTAATGTCTTAATGGATGGTAAATGTGCAGTAATGATGTACTTCTCATGATAAAATATGTCTTGCCGAGTAAAACAACCGAAGATTTACAAGCTACAAAAAATCACTTTAGAGGATAGAAGAAAAGCTCCTTTCTACTGAGAGTCATGAATAAACAAAACTATCACCTTCGTGCTGTATTTTCATGGGGCAGAGTAAGGGAATAGAAAGAATATGGACTTATTTTTAGAAAAGACATTGAGCTTTAGTGACTGGCATGACACTCTGCTTTGATTTCCTGACTGAACAAATTTACTCTACTAGGGCCATTAAGGGGAAAAAAAACTTGGTATGAAACCTTGCAGTGTTACTGAGCCAAATACTTCTGGTAGGATTTGATCCAAGGCCTCTTGAATCTACTGAAGTTTTTCCATTGATTTCAGTGACTTTTGGGTTAGTCTTTAAATGATCTTGATGTAAACTTGGAGTGAATATGTATACACCACTGTTGCAAATCTGGAACAGCTCCATGAAATGAGACTATATTTTGGCCTATGTTTCTAATTTTAAACGTGTTTTAAGAGCACCAATAAACACCAGCCCTGGTAATGTTGGTTGCATGCCTGGATGCCAATGCCTGAATGATCGATAACCTTTTATTTGGCTTCAAGACTCATGATTCACTCTTATGCTCAAGGTGTTGAGAAGACATGCTGGGGTTAAAACGCCTGCTTCTGATTTACCATTTGATTCCTTCATTTTTCAGCAGGTGAAACCAAGTTGACTCGATTTTGCTGAAATTGTATCAGCGGAAAACTGGAGTAATCCAGCTAAGAACCAGCTCCAACACACTTTAAAAGACATGTTCTGTTCATTATTATTTAGACCTCTGAGATTTCTAACTTTCAAACAGTTATTTTTGGGTCCCATATAATTTCAGTTCTAAATTTAGTGGTGGGTTTTTTGAATATTTTTTTAAACTGCTTCCAAGTGGAGTTGACTTTGTAGCTGTGAAAGAAAAATGTGTTTCATGTTGCTTCCTGACAACATCTAGTGTATTTCAGTTTGTCTCTTGGGCACAATCAGGTATTACAATATTTAAATTGGAAATATTGCAAGAAATACTGGAGTTGAAGTGGTAGTAATAATCACAGAAGTGTTAGTTTAAAATGCCTTAAATCCTGCTTTTAGTGAGATTTTATCTTTGCATCTCCTGTGGATTCTTCACATAAGAATCTTTTCATATTTGTCTTTCACATCTTTTTATGTCCTTTTGTTTAATTATGAAGTCCATTTTTAATATATAGCTTGGCAAGTATGTTCCTCCTACTCACTGAATGAGTGGAAATGGCACCTTTTTTGTGCTGATATCATTAGGTATCTTTCTGTGGATTTCAGTGGGCCAGGGCCCTGTGCTCAAGGATCACTTTCTCAGAAGCCCTGCTGTATCTGCCCTTCACAGATTATGTTTGAGAGCAATGTGGTGATTCCTGACATGTTTGACGTTCCCTACTTGTAACCTAAGACCACTCTGTTAGGAAGCACTTTAGGTCACAGATTCCTGATCCAGTTCAAAAAAACGTGCATTTTATGCATGGTTCTCTTCCCACAATTGTTTCTGTTGCTATGACTTCTCAGATTTTTACATATTTTAAACCAAATTCTCACAAGAACAAATGTCTAAAACTGTATCTCTTTACTAGTGTGTGATTCACAGCATGTGGAGGCACTGCCCCAGACTCCAGGTAGTCTGACTGGAAGGCAGTAGAACATTGGTACATTGTCTTCTGGACCAGTCATTAAGACAAAGGGACAGCTGCTAATCATGTTTAATTTAGAAAGTGAGGCCTCCAAATTTGTCTAGTGCCCTGATCTCTATGTGCTATAAATGATACTGGGGATAGGGACAGGGTGCCTGCCCACAATAGAAGACTGTTTCCATTATCAATGTCATTGTCATCTGCTGATTCATCAAAACACAGAAGTTTCTTTTCTTAAAAATAGAGCATCTGCCCTGTTATTATAACATGTAAAGAAATGTCCTTGTGCTCCTCCTGCCCTCCTTGCCCCTGACACTACTTGGTAGCACAAATAAACACAGTTCACGCTTCCCTGGGGAGGAAAAATTCTGACAGCACTGTGTTGCTTTATGATCTTTGCTGTGGATGCATTTTCACAGAGAGACTTTCAGGTGAGCAGTAGTTGAAAATCCAGCTTTTCTGGAGTGGTGGCTTGGTCAAGATTGTGAGATGGGTCAAGATTAATAAATAGAGCTGTAACCAGGACCTTTTCCTTGACTCAGAAAACATTTATTTAACACAGAGCACCTTCACAGGAGGTTAAAAATATATATATCTTTCAGCAGAATTTAGCAGGTGGATGATTACTTTCTCCTCTAAATTAGATGACATATATGTTACTTTAACTTGCATAAAAGTTCAGTTGTTTAAAAATTACATCTATTCATAGTTTATTATTTATATTTTTTTCAAATTAATTTATTCTAATAATAATTTATTCTATTAGTTCAGCCTTAATGTAGTTAGAGATGTGGTGCACCTTGAATTTCAACTGACCATAATGACAAGTCAGAACATCCAGGTTGGTTTTTCACTCTTCAGTCGTTTTGTATCTTATCTTTTTCATTTCACACATGTGAGGCTATGAAGTAAAATTAGGTCTGTTATACAGTGTATTGTTGATGATGGTTTATGCCTTTTCTTTCTTTTTTTCTCTCTCTCTTTTCCCCACATGCTGTCATCATGTATTTTCCTTCCTTGTAGTTTTGGAGAATGATTAGCCATTATAATAAGGTGTGGGAAAAATCAGTGTTTTTAAAAAAAAACTAAAATATTTCATTTTAAGTGGAGCCAAATTTTCAAAATGATTTCTTATCCTACCTGAAGTTTTATATATAGAATTCCACACAAATGATTGCTTTCACAAATTCTTGAATTTTTTTTAACTGGCAAATCAAGTAAATAGATGCTGTACTTTCCGAGGTGATACACTTGATCTGGAAAACTTCAAATATACTAAATATGCTTAGAAAAAAGGGCCCTATGTATACACTATCTTTTAGGCACCAGAAAAGGACCTGGCACTTTTTTGCTTACCCTTCCTAGTATTTTGGTTAACTGATGGTAACTATCTGCCTCCTGAGCCCAGCAGATGTAAGTCCTCGAGTGCAGTTTGTTCTTCAGGAAAGCAATTCATCAGTCAGCCACGTGAATGAAATCCAAACTCAAATAATGACAGTTTCCTCCCTTCTGTCTCCCAGGCACAGTTATGTTTTTTATAACTCTTGCTGAGAAAGCCATTTCACAATGCAAACCCAGTTTCTTTAGTGAGGACATGAGGATTTGAATTCCTGGCCATTCACAAGAGTGAGAAATGAAGGGCTCTTGGCTGCCTGCAGCTTTAGAAAAGGGGTTTTCCATAATCACCCTCTGTTGTAAAGGCAGGATTATTTGTATTTGTTTCATTTGGAAATGGGCCTTTTTCACTCTGAATGAAGTACTGTTGAGTGCCTTCCTACCATCCATTTGCTTTCCCCCCAAAATGGCTCAGAGGAGAAATTAAGCCATTGGAGGAACGGGAACTTTTCAAAGGAGCATTTACGGGCCAAAGGAAAGATGACCAGATGGGCTGTCACCCAAGAAAATACAAATCAAGCCCCAAATCACACCCGAGGACTTTGCCATCCATAATGCTTGTTCAGGATTTCTGTTTATTTTTCGAAGAGGGAGATCATATATGGCTTGGCTTAAGAATTTCAATTTATGTTTCTGGCTGTCGGGGGATGCTGGCAAAAGATAAAACATTATCAGCTCATTTTCCATCAGTAGCGCTCTGTCATTCCATTAGGGCAGGAAATAGCTTGCTCTGTGACTGAGTGAATTTGACTTTAGCGTGGCTCAGAGAGAGGAGCCCTAGAGTTAAACACATCTCCCCATGCCAGCTGTTCAGCATAAGACAGCAATGGCGTGCAGCCAAGTGACCACCCTCAGGATCCGACACGTGCTGGCATCACGTGCCTTGCAAAACCAGGGGGAGCCCTTCCAGGGGAAGTGAGGTGTTGGGATGGTGGCAAGGATGGAGAAGGTTAAAGGAGGTTCTGGTGAGACAAAGGTTTTCTTTGGTGCTTGCTAAACAGTAAAATAAAGACTGAAATATTTTGCTGTGGTGAGCCATAATTGTAGCGACTCATATTCCACCACAGAGAGGTACGATATCAGATCCCTGATAGATGATACTCGTTTAATTGGGTTATTCATTTGAGAAGAGGTTCAGAGCTGCTTTCCAGATACCACTGAGTGATATCCACAAGAAGTCCTGCCAAAAAGAGAGTCATTTATCCTCTCCTTTTACAGCTTGACTGACTAAGAAGACATAGCTATAGGCTAAGAATTTCCAGCATTAAGTCTTGACTTTTTCAAAAGACACACGTGGGACTTGTGAGCCTGAGTGATATATGCAAAGGGCATTGCAGAGTCTTGCTTCACATGACAAGGTTGCAGTGGTGCTGAGTGTAGATCTGGAACCCTAATTTTCCACTGATATACTGCTTTTTTAAGGGCTTTGTCTGACTTTGAGAACCATAATTTTTTGTGTGTATTCTACTCATTGTCTCTCAGCTTAATTTACACTCTCCCACTGCAACTTCAGTTCCAGTTGACTGCAAGCTCTAGTGTTTGCAAGCTGCATATGGGGGGGAGATCTAAGCTCTGTGTGTTTCAGTTTACTTGTTAAAAAAAAAGGGATGGATATTCTTATGATGCTCTAGCTTTTTGCAGTAAATGTTCCTAATTAATAAGGGCAAAGTGTATAGGGAACACCAGTATCTTAAAACAGGTGATATACTTTGCACGGGGAGGAAAGGTCAAACTTGTATGTACAGAAAATGTAACTCAGGGTACTTGCAGGCTTTCTAGTCACTTGAAGATTTTATGCTTTGAAACCTGACACATAAGTCTGGTTTGGGGTTTTTTTCCCCTCCACCCCAAATCCCTTCAGTCATGTCACTCTAATAAAAGATATTGCCTCTCCCTACAAACTTTGCCTCACATATCCATAGATCAACAGCAGATTGCTGTTCCAAATTAGATACAGTTTTCTGCGGGCATACTGGCAACTGTGATTTTTGGGGGGTAATCTGAGAACCCTAGTTTAGCCAGTGTGGCAAAGTGATATGCTGCTGCCAGTCCACATGAACAGCCTCATCTGGATTCAGTTTTGTAGCTGAGGCACTGCTTTCCTAGTGAGAGGTCAGCAGGCACCTCTGCATGTGTTGACGGGATAATTGTTTTTCATAATTCCTGGACTGTCTCTTAGCTTCCACGCAGCTCAGGCTTTCCTAATTGCCACCTTCTTTTGTGACCAGATGCAGACTCTGTATGCTTTCGATGAAGAAGAAACAGAAATGAAAAATAAAATAGTTGAAGACTTGAAGACAGCTCTGCGGACGCAGCCTATGAGGTAATGCTGTTTGCCTTTCATCGCGATTCGCTGCCTCCACATGGTCACATCTGACACCGACAGCAGTGGCAAGGACAGAAACCTCATTGTCCCACCTCACACAAGCCTCTCTGAGGTTTCAGACAATCCTCAGAGAGCCCTACAGTCCCTGGTCTGGGCCTGCTTAGTTGGCAGGCTAGCTAATTTCACACTAATGCTGAAACATGTAGTTTCAGGGAAATAAAAGACAAAGTCTACAGTGAAAAAATCTGTGGCAGATATTTGCAAACACAGGTAATGACTATGCAGATCAGATTTTAGTCTTCACAGCCCCCTGCACATCTCATGTAATTTGATTCACTTTGGGCTAAGTCTCAGCCTCTACTCTGAACTTTGAATTTAAGCTTCCCCTTATCTTTAGTAATGTGAACTGTTTAGTACAAAGCAGCTAATCCATCTGACATCACCTGGTTTGGCATTCTTCCCATTCATTCTGTGTTGTAACCGTGGCACAGAAAAATGTAAAGAGACTTTGTTGTGTACTGTCTTTGAAGGTTATGTCATCTTTCTTTTTCTGGGAAGAAAGCTCTGAACAACAGCAAACTAGCTAGCATAGAAACCTTCTCAATTTAACACTTGGAAGAGCAGTGGGGAGAGACAATAACTTTAGTTGATATGATTTCAGGAAACACTCAATCAAAAAAATTCTGAATGATTATTATATTGGCCAAATACTTTTGTACCCACACCATGCTGAAGTCATAGTTTCAGAGAATTCAGTAATGCCTAACCAAATACAGCTCTCTTTTGGGGAGGGAATCCTAACCAAGCAAATGGAATAAATAAATAAAAGCAACCCAGAAAATAATCTCAAAGAATTTTCATTGCAGTTACTTTGACTTGAAGTGAAGATTTTTTGGGACTTCTTGCAGAGCTATGTGCTGATTGTGCTTCTCCCTTTCATAATCTTTAAAAAATTGACTGCATGCAGCTTCTCTGGTTTTTACCTCCTGTTTATTTCTGGTTCTGATGGGCTTTAAGAGAGCACAAAATCATATTCTGGTGCTCTTTAAGCATAAAGATTTATCAGGCTTTGGTAATTTTACATGTAGGTAGAGTGAATGCTTTTAACGTGGAAGCAGAGAAGTGGTAGCCTATACTGAGACCTAAGTCAAGAGTGACTGTTTGATGCTGTCTATCACTGTCCTAAAACAGAGAACACAGTAAAATGCTGCTGGACTCTATGTTAAAATGGAAGCTGAGGCAACTGTCGAACTCCCAACTCTCTCCAGGCTTTTAAACCAAAGTCCTGTGCAGCTGGAACTTGATATAGCAAAACTGTTACATTAAGGTGGAGCTGGTTTGATGATTGCTCTGTGAAGGTGACAGCTTTCATTGAATGTAGTCACAGCAGTAAGGCCTCTTTGCTTTGTCCAGCTGAAACACTTTGGTGGCCACTATTGGATGTTCTGCTGTGTCATTTTGAATAGACAGCCCAAACTCCTTGTTGAGGACAAAGCAATAGAGAAGAAAGAGAAATGAGCATTTGAGCAGATTCTTTTGCTCAAAGCCTTGCAAGATTTTTCTTCTCCAACCTGTATTGCATCTGCTGGATCCCCTTGACAGCAGCCTGTTGCTTCATCTGTTTGTAATAACCCTGACAAGCACAAGCATCAGTAGAAGCATCTATAGGCTGCCCTATAAAGTCTTCTCAATTGCTGGCGATGGTTGTGGGGCTTTAAAAAAAAAAACAGTTAAGCCAAGCCAAATTTTGAGTTAAGTCCTGTGTCTCAACTAATTTCCAGCGACTCAATTCATTAGCTGCCAAATGGGCTGCATGCCAGTGCCTGATCAAAAAGCCAGTTTCTTCTTGATGGAAAGGTTGCAGTAGAGAGGCCCTCAGCTCCATCAAATCCCTCTCATAAGCAGTATGATACCTCAGCCTTCAAAATACTAGTCTTTCTAGTTTAATTTGGATATCAAATCCTGTTTTCTTTGCCACTTCTATTCATCAGGCCTCTGAAGAAAATAGAGACTTAAATTCACACAGGATGAACTGTCTGGAATCCCTTTGTGATAGCAGGTTACAGAGGGGCTCTGATGGCTTAGCAATAGGCTCCTCTGCTTGAATTCTCTGATCCAGAGGGATCAAAAGAAGAAAAATACATGCATTTGGCTCTTTATTTTACTGTAAACTGTGTCCCTTCTAGTAGATAATGCAGAGTAATTACTAAGCTCTGTCTCTATTCCAACCCACCAGTTCTAACAGTTAAAAATAAAGCAGACCTATCCAAACTCAAGTTCCTATCCTCTTTGTAGAAAATGGGATAGGAGTATTCCTGGGGCAGTCTGTGGTCCCCTTTGAGCAAGTGCACCTTGTTTGGTATCTAGAAGCTGCCCAAAAATAATAAAGCCAGGTTATGTCCTAGTGGGTTATGTCCTATCCCAGCCAGGTTATATCCTATCCCAGTCACAGACAACAGAAATGCTACATCTGCATCTTGTAAAGAAACACATTTTCTCACAGGTTTGTAAAAACTCAGAACTATAAACAATTGTGATGACAAACTGTTGGACAGAAGCAGTGGGAGAAGAGCTTTTCATTTGGTATTTTAGTGCCCCAAAATGGAAGTTCAGAAGTGCAGCAAAAGCAAAAACTTAAAAGGGACTGGGAAAAAAATTGCTTTTTGGAGTCCTTGAAAAATACCTTCTTTAGTCTGAGCCATCACTCATTCCTTTTACTGTCTGCATTTCTCCTTTTGTTTTATTCAGATTTACCTCCTGCTATGTTTTGTTTGATGTCGCAATATTGCATCCAGGTGCATAATGAAGAAGATCATTTATGCAACTAGCAAGCAAAATCCATGATGCTGAATTTTGCAGCAGTTCAGTAGTTATCAGGATTATGTGTGCCCCCTGGTTCAAAAACTAATGCTGCAGGGAAGTGTAGCCTTGCCTGTTAACAGGGTGGGAACATCCTGCTCTCTGCACACCCACAGCATATGATCTTTTTGTCTTTCTTGAGCTGGATCAAGTCTTAGAGGGAAGCTGTACCCCCAACACTTGGAATCCATCAGTGGGTCAGTTCCTCTTTGGCCACCACATCTGTATTTGGATGAAAGGTTTATTATTAGAGCTAGCTAACTCATTCTGATCAGCACTCTCTAAAACTTGAAAGGCAAAGAGGTGCCCTGCCTTTTAAAGTGTGCTAAACTGGTCAAGTGAGAGTCTGAGGTGAGGTTAGACTTTAATTTGCTTGTTTAGCACCTATTAAAACACACTCTGCTTTATTTGCATTTCAGTATTTGAATGTGTTAGCCAGAATGCATTGGCGTATATGTTTAACTTTACACCTCCCAGTCTAGAACAAGACCTTACTTTGCAGCACAGAGGCTGGGTAGGACAGGAGTTAGTTACACATGTGCTGTGTACTGTGTGCAAGAAGGTTCTTGACTTGTATAAGTTGCCTTTGCTTTTGCACATACACACAGATACCTGCATAGAGGCAGACAGATGCACCAACACAAACAGTGTGAGGATTGTGGCTCTGGGCTGTCGGCTAAACTCCCACTTCTTTTTCTACCTTCTACAGACATATACTCACACACCTCCCCACACCAAGCAAATCCTCATACTGAGTGTGTCTGTTGGGCCAGGAACTGCTTTTGCCATTTTTTTGCCTCCCCCAGCATGGTTTCTGGCTTTTCTGGAGAATAAGGAGCTAAGTGTTTGGAAAAAGGAAGATGAAAATCATAATTTGATTGCAGCTGAAATAGAAGGGTACTTTCTTGCTATTGAGTAACACGCCTCACTGTTTGCTCTCTGGGCTAGGAATAGTACAGGAAAGTCCCAACATTGTTTTAAATTATGTCATTAATCAAGTTTTGTCACACACACCGCTTTCCAGCGCATGCCTTCTTTTTGCAATGACCTCATCCTAACAGTCCTAGAAAAATTGCACTGCCAGTGAATTTAGTGAGAGTTTGTACTTAATTGGGACAATGTAACTTTTGTGCATTTACCATTTTTTTTCACATGGTCATCAGGGCAGGTGAAAATACATGAAAATTGTAGTGCCTTGCTTCTCTTGTCCTAAGATTGTGTGTTCAATCCCAAAGTGCATTTAGGACACCTTTTACTCTGCTGCTTCTTAGGCTGTTTCCATCAGTATTGCTCTGTAACTTCAGAAACATATTCATCTTAAGTCTTCCCTCAGCCCTGGAAGTTAAAAAAAAAACAGGGAAAAAAAATTTGTGCCTTTCCCCCAACCCCCAAAAGACAGAGGGAACAGATAAAGCATAGAATGGAACTTTGAAGGTAAGGAGGACAATTTAAAGTAGCCCCTCCATAGTAGAGACAACAGGAACTCCACTCTTTATAGGCCCAGGGAATTGATAAGAACTCATTTGCATTGTTGTTCAGTAACATGCTGTTTGTGTTTATTTTTTTTCCCAAATAAATCCTTTGCAGCAACTCTTCTAGCTATGAATGCACTTGTTTCAGTCTTTGTCAAGCTAGCAGCAAATGCATTGCAGAAACTTAACTGAATCTGAATCTTTCTGTAATCAGTTTGAATAACTAACTGGTTTGGCTGACTTACCTGGTGCACAATGTCGATGCTGCTCTTGAGCCTGGAGAGAGAGAGGGTCTTTTACTCCTATGATTTGTTAGAGTAGACAAAGTGATGCATCCAGAGAATGTGCAGTCAGACCTTGCAAACTTGGCAGATTGTCTTAGCAGGGTTCAGTTTAATCATGTTTTCATTTTTGGTGTGCATATGTTCCTATGTGTGCCCTTACTCTGATAGTCACTTTGAAATTCAGTTTTGAACAAAAGCCAAACATCAGACCAAAACTTTGTTGAATGCACCAGGCTTTTCCATCTTTTTGGTCAAATTGCTGGCTCACATAAACTGAAATTTGGCAAATCTATCAGCATAGTGAGTGTAACTTTCAGGTAGGCTCTGAAAATTCCTTTGTGGTGTGGAGTGTAACTATCAAAAGACCATACATATGTTGAATCCATGTTATCCAGAGAAACAGAAGTATGGTTTGGGTTTCTCTTGTTGTACCAGGACATGAATGGAGACCAGTGAAATTTGGTATTTCAGTATGGTGTTTCCATTATTACTGATTATAAGTAACAGCATCTCATGGACACAAAAAGAAAGATGGTACATTAGGGAAGAAGAGGGACTGGGTAAAAGTGCAATGACACAGAATTTTGATACTTTTAATTTGTTACACAATTGGCAACTGTTAGCAACCTTTTCAATTGCTTGAAGTGTCTTTCTATATTATGCTGTTCAAAGTGTGGCCATGGACAAATCATTGCTGGTGTACATTTTTATAGACTAAAAATTCAAGTGTGATGCACATGATTTTGCATTCAGACATTCCAAAAACTGTACCTACCTGAGCAACATGTTAGAGGAGGCAAACAGTGTAGAGTCTAGGGGAATTATTTGCAGCCCTTTCCATGTCTTTGAATCCCCATTTTAATCCTAGGAACTTCAAACAAAACATTGCTAGAATGATCGGTTTGAACTAACTTATCTAATTCTATCCTTTTCTGGTAATTTTTCTAAAGGGCTGTTTGCATGGTCTAAATTGACCCATCTGGATTTTTTTAACCCTGGTTTTCAACAAAAGCAGAGGAGCATTACCATTTACAGAAGAACATGCCCCTTTTAAATATAACATGTTCCTACACATATGTCATGAGATTGGAGTGTGAAGGCAGTATGGGTGATTAGACAGAGTGGGAATGAGTTCCCCTTTGTCAGTGTGCCCAAATCCTGGAGGTGGAACCTATAAGCAGCATTGTCTGAAAGTTAGAGCTAAGCCTAAAAATTGTTTTCAAGGTAATCTGAACTCATAACTGAAAGTGTGGTGACAAGTCTGTGTGTTGGGTGTATTAGCACATATGTAAGATGGAACAATTCAAAAGAATCCCTTCAGCCTTGAAAATGCAGCAGCTGTTGAGGTGAACCACAGCAGTGTTTGGTGGTAACTGCAACAAAGAACACAGAGACCAAACAGAAGTGTAAGATGATAGCATATAATTACCCTGAAACTATGTAACACACCATTATTAGCTGCAATGTTTTCTCTCTTGGTTTGTTTGCTTTGTTTTTCTTAAATACCTGGGAATTGTTCTGTGAATTTAGGCTGAAAACTGGCCAGCTTTTAAGGATCTGGAGTTGAATAATATGGTGTCTTTTGAATAAAGTGCCTTTGGTCTGCTCTCCTTGTTTTTCCTACTTGGTTTTTTTTTTTGGTTTTTCTCTTCTCAGGTTTGTGACTAGGTTTATTGAGCTGGATGGCCTGAGCTGTTTGCTGAACTTCCTGAAGAGCATGGACTATGAGACCTCGGAGAGTCGCATCCACACATCCGTTATAGGGTGTATCAAGGCACTGATGAACAACTCCCAGGGACGGGCTCATGTCCTGGCCCATCCTGAAAGCATCAACATCATATCCCAGAGCTTACGGACTGAGAACATTAAGACCAAGATTGCTGTGCTGGAGATCCTAGGGGCTGTCTGCTTGGTACCAGATGGTCACAAAAAAGTCTTGCAAGCCATGCTTCACTACCAAGTCTATGCTGCAGAAAGGACAAGATTCCAGGTAAAAGGAGGATACTTTGACAGAAATATCCAGAATGAGGAATCTCTGCCAGGAGTGATTTCTGAGTGCATATATTGCAAACTTGCTAAGTAGTAAAAGGCAATATTTATCATTTTGTTTTAGGAAGGGAAATTCCTCAAATAGATCATGTGTATACTTATATTTATACTTCTATTTCAAGATATATTGCTTGTCATTAATGCTAACTTAAAATTCCATATATTTTGCCTGAAAATAGAGGTTCGCTTTGCTAAATGAACGCTGATTATCTGCTCATACTCTAGCTTGATGGCATTTCTGGGATGGTAATGATTTATTCTGTCCTAGAAGCTGAAGCCACAGAATTTCAGGACCCTCTGTCCTGATCTTAACTCCTTAATTTAGTAATAAAAGAATTGTAGATTAAATAGTGGAGATGAACAATTAAATTAGGTATAGTGGAGGCACTTCACTTGCCACTTAACAATCAACTTGTGAATCGTCATCACTTAGCAATTGTTGGCTCAAATAATTCCCATTCAGACCACAGAAGGGAAATGCATTCTCAGAGACCTTGAAGTAGGTCAGTGACAGGCTTTTATTGTGGAAACTCCTGGCTGCTACTATAATGTTCCTCCTCCCAGTGAACTGAGCACATTTACAAAAAGATAGTGGAGAATCTGTTGCGGTGTGTGAAGATGTGGCTCCTTAACTTTGGGATAATCTAAGCCATTTACTGTTCTTCCTTAGATGAAATCATTAGAGCTGTGTTGTGCCAACAGGCACGGGATCCCAATGCTTGACAGTCATTATCTCTTACCTCCTCTCAACTAATGGATTTTAGGCTAATAAAATAGTGAATGGGAAAACAGTCTGTGCAGGGGGAGAGTAGCTGCCAATGTTTGTGTTAGAACCAAATGCACTGTGGGATTCACTGACTGTGACTCAGACCTGGGACAGGGATGCAGGAGATCTTGATTTGGTACTAACCTATATTTGGTATTGTCAGGTCCATCCCTCGATGTGCACTGCTTCATTTGCATTGCTTGTCTATTCAGACTTGATGTGTGTCTTCAATATGCAAGTGTGACACATATGATGGATGGCTCCAGAAGTGGGGGCCTTTCAGCCTCAGTTGGAAGCTCTCGAGGCTACTTCAATAGAGAAAATCATAATTACAGTAAAACTTGGAAGGTGAAGAGACTATAGCTGCAGTCATAAGAATGTGTCACCATTCTTTAGTACAGGAGGAGGATAAGAATGAGCAGTGCAGGTGCAGGAAGTAAGCCATGTACATGAGATATGATGTGGAGATTATTGGGTACTGCCTATGGAGGAGAAGGAAAGCATTTAAATTCAGTTTGTTCTCTAGTAACTAGCTGAAATAAGGAAACCTTCCTGAGTTAATATGCCATGTTTTTATACGTGGGAGACAGGTGGGGATAACTTGAGCTGCTCTAGGCAAAGCAGTAACTCATAAGCCTGACTACACTTGTGGTCCCATGTTAACTTGCCCTTACTGGACCAAATGACTCTGCTTAATAATCCCATATGGCACAGATGCTGTGTTAACCCTAGCTGGGTGTTCTCTCTCTCTCTCTCTGTTTCTGTGTTGATTTAAAAGTTACTGAATAACTGAGGTAAGTCACTGCTGCGTGAAATGTGGTAGCTTTTGAGGAGTCTGGTTGAATGATTCGCAGGTGCTTACCAGTCTCTTACACTCATGAAAAGTACTTTGCCTAAATACTGTGCTTGTCAAAAAACTTTTCCATTCAGGAAGAAATGAAAAATAAATGGATACTCTCTTTTATTTCTCAAGTAAAACCAAAAAAAAGAAGCCCCACCCAATCCCCAGAATGGTTTAGCAGAAGGAATGTGTTCTTGTTTGCAATTACTAATACTTGTGTTTAGAGACTGAAATTCGATTTTCCGCTATACTCAGCAATAGCTTGAGTTTAATTTTGAGGAGGTAAGTGTTCATCCAAACACATTCCTCATCCATCTCCAGTTATTCTAACAGAGAGACTAGGGATTTTTTAAATCCTGAAGAAACAAATGTGGTGATGCTCTTTCTTACATTTTAGAGGAAGTTTCTCTGATAACACAGCTCTTAAAATTAAGAGTGTTCCATCTCTTTGCCTCTTGCCCTCCTGCACCTCTGTCTCAGAATAGTCTTGCAGCTTATTGTCAGGGAAAGCATCTACTGTAACTTGAATATGGGAAGCCATTTTAAAAGAAGGATAAGCTGAAAATGCTTGTTCTTTACCTTTCCTGTAAGCTTCAAAGATGTAGTGTACAATGAAAGCCTTTTTCTATCCTCTTTTAATCCTAGTCCTGAATGTAATCTTTGTAACCCAGAGTTTGCAAGTATCTGAAAAGATCCTTTAAGTGTGAAACAGAACCCTTAGGGTGCTGTGTTTCCTGCAGCTTGAGCATCTAGCAGCATCATTCGGTATATTGAAGTATCCAGAAAGTGTGGAGCTTGCAGCAAACTTTATACTTGGCAGCTTGACTTCGACCAGCCACACCTAAACACTGTTATGTTGAAAACTATCCACCACAAGTGGGGAATCTGGCAGAAACCACAAACAAGAATTCTTGCTGTGAAAGTAATAAAACTGCGAACTAAACTGTAGGAACAGGAGAAACTATTCAGAGTAGAAATTTATTTCTTTTGCCTCTATGGTCCATCCTTGCAGACTGATTCTAACTGGTGGGGGGAAGAAAAGCTGGGAACTGTAAAGGCACTGCTCAGTCTTTATGTCTAGCTCTGCAAGACAATGGCCAAATTAGAGACACAATGCATCAGAAGGAAGTAATCTCAAATTTTGGAAATAAGCTCAGTTCTTGTGAAGTAAAAGTGCTGGGCTTTCTGGAAATTGTAGTGAGCTCACTTTTATTGGAATGTCCAACAAATAACTTACAGGTGATACTGACCTCTGACAATATTAGTGCCAGTGTTGCTTTTCCTTAAGTTGCCTTCCTGACAACAGTGGTTGAAAATATTTCTCATCCCATTCAGCCATCTTACTGTCAATTTATTCATCCTCATCTGTGAAAGCTGGAACTTTGTATATTATCTGTTTGGATTTATTTTCAACTCTTGCAGGTAGCAGTAAACCTTGGTGTCCCATTCTCCCTCATGTCACTGTGGTGATCGGCACTATGTCTGTTGGGGAATCAGGAGGTTAATGTAATTAACACTAATACGGATCTACTTTTCTCCAAAACAATTTTTTTTTCCTTTTGAAGAGAAATATCATTGTGATGAGTAATAATATGGGGTACATGCTTCTGCTTCCACTCCTTTTTGTAAGAAGAAGGAAGAGAAGTTCGGAATGATTTACTGACAACTATCTAAAACTTGAGCTCCTGAAAAACTTGTTGCTGACAACTTTAGATTGCAACAGTGATTATTTCCAGTGTGCACAAGTGTGGTGGAGTGTAGAGATCCTGTATTTAACACAGCAACATAAAACATGGCACATTTCGTTGAATGTGAGGAGTTATTGCCAGTCAATGTTCTAAACACAACTCCTGATACCTGGCACAGCTGCCAAAAGTTGTCAGAAGACTCAGCAACTGGTGAATTAGTGGACAAGGAAAGCTGTGACTTAAGGTATGGTTCTTACTGAACTTACATTAATTCTGTCCTGCAATAGCTTATATTTCTTGAATAGAAAACTTATAGTTTTATGCCAGGGTATCTGAAGTCAAAAATTCAAATGACAGTGAAATTCCTGAGCATTATAAATTTAACATTTATATTTAGCCCCAATTAAGTCCCAATTAACTTAATTGCACCAAGTAATAGCAACTGAAGACCATTAATCAAACAGTACTGAAATGCTTCATAAAGGATCTCTGCTTCCTGATGTGTTCTCTCTTTTTAATTTTCTTTTATGAAGTTAATGAAAAATATAAATAGAACTTATATGAATATGAAAGACTATTTCCTTATGAAAAAAAAATCAGGTTTTACTCTGAATTGAAACTGAAGTAAAATATTATTTCCTTCTAAATTGCCAGCATTTCATCTACTGACTACAATTGTCAGTCCCTAACTTCAGTCAGGATTCACTTTAAAGCCCTGGGGAGATTCTCCAGAACTTACTCTTTTTTGTTGAGGCTCCAGTCTTCACTTGATTGCCTTTTCATACTGCAACATCACCCTGTGTCTTTGATATTCAATGTGTTAATAGGTGTATCAGGATCATCCTTGTCTTGGCACTTGCAACAAGATTCTAGATTGTTTGTGTCTCAATTGATATAGTCAATATTCCTATTTTCTCATATTTCCCACATCTTCTTGCCTGAACTTTTCCCTTTGCTTGCTTTAATGATTGACCCTTCTTTTATAATGCCCTTCTAATGCCCTTATAATGCCTGGAATGATTCTCACTTGAATGTTCAACAGAGCAGTCTGTAGTTAACGTTAAGATATTCCTTGAAAACTGTCTTCTTCAAAGTAATACTCTTTCTATACTCAAATACCACAGTAGTATTAGGGCATGCCTTCAATCTCCTTCCTGAGGCAGTCTGGAAAACTCTGTCTTCATCCAATTGTTTGAAACATGCTACTTTGCCTACAAATCCTACTCTGCTCCTTAAAGAACAGAGATGAAAGAAAACACTTGAAATCCAAACAGTAAATCCTCAGAGCAGAAATGTGGAATTAGGAAGATGAGCCCTTGTTTGAGCCCTTATTGTCCTTGCTGGGATTTTTTCCATGTATTCAGCGTAATTCTGTCACTGGCTCACTGTGTGATCATAAAAACATTACTTTGTCTTTTTGTTTTTATTCTTGTGAATATGGAGTTTTATAAAATGCTGTGAAAACTGAGAAAGAAGAGTCTCTGATTTTAAAGTCATTCATGTCTGAATTATTGTATTTATGACTGGTATCCCTTGTGAAAGTGGCACATTCTTTCTCTCCCATAAGCTGTTGCCTTTATGATTATTTTTATGCTTTCTGCTTCCCCTCCTTCTCTCTGTGTCATGGCATTGTATCACATTATACTTTTTAACATGCCATATTTTGAGACAAAACTAATATTGCAGTTGTAATGCTCTATTGGCCTAAAAAGTTTATCAGGATGTTCCAGTGCTCTTGCAGCATAGCTTGCTATTTAAAACACTTGTCTAGCTGTGGATCCCTGTGGGGAGAAAGAATTTTCCTTTTAGTCGTGACAGAACCTAGGTGTTAGGTACTGTCTGAAAGAAGCTGGTTTCACTTCACAGTGGAAATATTAACTGGGCTGCTTTGGGCGGAAAACTCGTGTTTTCCTCCTTAATGCTGCTAGAAATTTTGAACCTCGAGGTGTATGAATAAAGAAAGTTTGATATTGTCAGTTGAAAAGGTGGAGGCCAGGAGCATTTCTTCCAGAGCCCCCTTGCCTGCTTTATATCAAACACTGTCAGTACAGACCATAATTTGTAAGGAGGAAGCTGATCAATTTGGAATTGTAGTAGAGGATCTAACAAGGAACAAATTAAAAGGCTGTATTCACTCTTGATTTCCTTCTTCCCTTTGGGGCTCAGCCAAAGCCTTTTGAGGTTTGCTGCAGATTGAATGAAACCCTACTGGTTGTCAGTGATGAGGAATAATGGGATTAAGTGAGGAAAGTTTTGCTTAAATAGTAGGAAAAACCTTTATAATCATAAGATCAATTGGGCCACAGAAGTGGCTGCCAAGAGGTGTGGTGAAATCTTTTTCACAGGAAATGTTCAAGTGAAGATTTGAACCTCAGCCATTTGCTAAGAGTTGGAGATATTGGAGTTTGGCCACAATATGTGGGTGTAGACTCTGATTTTTAGGAATAGCAAGAACTTAGAGTGTTTCCTTCTCAAGCTGAACAATTACATGAAGATGTGCTGCTCTTCAATTGGATTAGTGCAACACAGAATTTTGGGTTTTCTTGCCCAGAATTTGATATGCCTTCCATTGCATTCTGCTTCTCGTTCAGCGTTCTGAAATGGGGGATAGAAAACTTCTGTTAGCATCCTTCAACCTGTCTGGATGCTGTACCTGATATGCTGTTTCATAGATTCTGTCATGTTCCTACAAGTCTGTGAGAAAGTATGATAGGAATGAAAAGCCTCTGAAGAAAACCAGCAAAACCATCCTTGGTTTTGCTTCTTCTGTAGTGATGGCTAATTCAATTATTCCAAGAAGGCACATGTGTTTTGAATTTCAGTGTCAAATCTTGAAGTAACAGAATAAAATTCTCTCATTTATTTCACTTCTGCTTGTTTGTCAAGTTGAACAGTTGGTTTTGTTGGTGAATTTAAAGACTTCTCAAGTAGTTTCTGATTGTCACTGTTGGAGATAGGATGGTGGATTTAGCTGACTACCAGTCTGGCTCAGTAGAGCATTTCATGTGCTTTTATGTAAGACTCGTTCCCATTTCTAGCAAAGTATTATGTGGTGGTAACACAGTTACTGAGGTGCTGGATAAGATTGAAACTCAAATGCCTGGAGTAGGGAAATTTGAAAATTCCAGATGGGAAATTTAGAAGCAACAAGAGAAAGGAGTTAATGAAATCGAGCTTGTTTGATAATGAACATACCATGCTCAGATGTGAAAACAGCTGTCAGTAGCAGTGTATGATAGGTCAAAATATTTTTGCACAAAAATAAGCATGAAGCCAGGAGGTTATTCTTTCCCCTGAAGAATGTACAGGAGGATATTCCTCCTGTTTCTTGAGACATATCTCTGTGGCTTTCTACAGGAAACAAGATAGACCTATGGTGACTAGAAGAGGAAAGATTTTGCTATGAATGAACACTTTCAGTAACCAGGGACAAAAGACTGACTAGAGGAAAATGAACTTCCTTACTCAGCATCATAGCTTCAAAATGTTATTTAGATGGTCTGCTGAGCCAAACACAAAAAAGTTATTTTTGTCTTCGTTATCCCTTTATGGTCAAAACTTCTTAGGGAGACTAAAAAAGAATTCTCTCTTTTTTAGTGTGATAGCAAAACAAATATATGAGTGTGAGGCATTTATTATTTATGCTGGAGTGAGACTCATACAGCTGAACTCACAGATCTGAAGTGGAATTTGTTACTCTTCCAGTAAGGAAAATCATCCTTGGAATTATGAGCTGATCAGAGAAGATCCTGAAGAGAATATTAATGGTGATCAGCAGAAAGCTGAAAGTAGAGTTGCTTTCATGGCTAATCAGTTTCTGCATGTAGCCTCTTTGGTAAATATTCAAGTGGAATTAATCCTGAATAAGGCAAAGGCCACCAATGCTACTTGTCTAGTCTTTTTCTCTTTTGTCTCCTGATATTCACAAGATTATGGTAAAATATCAGTACGTATGCAGAAATTAGACCAAAAAAATTCCTGTGCTGAACACCCCCTGTGGGTTCATTACCAGGGGGACATGCAGCCTCCAGGGAGAACTTCCAGCAGCCTTTCAATAAACAGAGCTTATAAGAAAGATGGAGAAAGGCATTTTACCAGGGCCTGTGGTGACAGGGAAAGGGCTAAAGGGTTTAAACTATAAGAAGCTAGACATTGAATAGGTAAAAGGAAAAGAGTTTTTTATGATGAGGGTGAAAAGGCACTGGAACAGGTTGGCCAGAGAAGTTGTAGATGCCTCATCCCTGGAAGTGTTCGAGGCCAGGCTGGATGGAGCTTTGGGAAGAAGCCCAGGTCTGGCAGAAAGATGTTCCTGCTCATGGCAGGAGAGTCAGGACTAGATGATCTTTAAGGGTCATTGTTAACCCAAACCATTCCATGAGTCTGTAACATGGAGACTGGAGCTTAACTGCACTTCCAGTGGAGATGTGTAATTCAACTTTGAGCTTTGGAGCTGTATGCACAGGGAATATTCCTGCTATTTGAAAATCCCTAAAAGGAGCTTACCAAGAGGAAATAATTGTCTGCTCCATGTTAAAAGGTGGTAAGTGAAGGAACAAGGATAAATCTTTCAAGGTTCAGGCATAGGCTTTATTCCTTAAAGGCATCTTCTCTTTACAATTATCTCCCCTGTATAGAGAAGTGCAATCTATCCTGCAAGAAAGCACCTTATGTCCTCTAACTGAGCTTGCTGTTCTGTTTCAGTCATTGTTAAATGAGCTAGACCGAAGCATGGGGCGATACCGAGATGAAGTGAACCTCAAAACAGCCATCATGTCCTTTATCAATGCTGTTCTGAATGCAGGTGCTGGTGAGGTGAGTCACTGCCCGGGAAATTCTTTCTGAAATATTATGTTTAAATTTGTTTACCTTGGAAATAGTTAGTAGATTAAATCACAAATCTTGCGGTAGTGGGTGGATATATTTTGGGGGAAATAATGCTTAATTGTTAAGATCAGTCTTATAATTATGTCTTCCATATTATTTCATTTCGAGCTTCTTCAGTATAGCATAGACTACTTACACTGAAGTGATTACTTTGGGTTGTTTTTTGGTTGGTTGGTCGGTTTTTTGCTGTTTTGGTTGTGGAGGGTTTTTTTGTTTGTTTTAAGAACTGTAAAGCATTTACCTTTTTATTTCATCCTTTTTAGAAAATATTTTGGTTTACCTTCAGAAATGTTTTGAAGTGCTAAGTTGTTTTGACTCAAAGCCAAAGTCAAAGCATTTTAATTTTAAAATATCAAGGGGAAACATTTCAGAAAAAAATCCAAGGTCCCAGTTGTTTTACTTTCATTAACAAGACTTCCTTTTGAATCTGAAGGATAGTTTAAACTAATTTATTACATTAAAAGTGTTACTTTTGTGACATTAGCTTTTTTTTTCTTTTGTTTTGGTTAAACCACAAAAGATAGCAAGCTCCTGAGAGCTATCTGACAATGTATTTGTCTCTGTCTCTGGGAATCCTGTAACATCCCACTGAATAGATGTCAGAAGGTTTGTCAGACTATGTGATTTTATGTATATGGTCTTATGACAAATAAACAGGAAAAAATTAGGAGGAAGACTGCAATGCTGTTCATCTGTAAGCAGGAGAGGAACCTCTAATGGACTAGCAGGAAAAGTGCCAGTAGCTTCTGTTCCTCATGGAACAACATGGAGTGTGCTGTCCTTATGACTGCATATGCAAAACTCATAGTACATAAATCTACTTTTAAGTGCAATGGAAGCAATGGCATTAATTCCTTTTTTACTTACTTTACTGGAATTATTCATCCTGTGAATTTGGGGTCAGGATAGAGAATATTAAAAAGGGAAGAACTGAAGTTTTAAGTAAATGTTTTTAAAATGAGATTGACAGCTTTTGAAAACAAATAACTTGGATTTCCCCCATTTTTTAAGGACAATTTGGAGTTCCGATTGCATCTCCGATATGAGTTTCTAATGCTGGGAATTCAACCTGTCATTGACAAGCTCAGAGGACACGAGAATGCCACACTGGACAGGTAAGACTTGTTTTCTGAGAACTGCTACTGGTGAACAGAAAGACTTCTTAGAAACTCTTCTCTATTTCAGACAGCTTATTCTGTCTCTTCTTGAGACTGACTCCATAAAAAAACAAAAAGAAAATAAAAAAATATATATTTATCCTAAAATTAACATCAGCAGATGAAGTAGGAAACATACATACTAAGTTGGCAGAGGCTGTGGCAAAGGAGTTCCTCAATTGCTTTTTTTCTCAGCAGGGGATGGCAGTCAGAATGAAAAATACAAAAAGTATTCTAATTGTTTTCTCTTGAAGCAAAACTGGAACAAAAGCCTGTCCTAGTAGGAGGCAGGGAAGCCAGTAGTTCATTGACTTCATTGTGACTGAGTATGTGTGGTCTAAGTGCAGGTTCTGAGTTTCCAAGTTGTATGACTGTAGTTTGCTGCAGAGCTGGAACCAGGAAGGGTGCTTTTGATCTGCAACATTATAAGCAAGAATAAGAAAATATGTCCTATAGATGATCTGTATTCCTTTGGACAGTAACCAGGAATGTTTAGAAGGGACTTAGTTGGATTTTACAAGTTAGGAGAATAACAAAGGTTTGAGAGGATTTCAGATGCCTGGATTACAAAGACTCTTGTACCAGATCTGTACAGGAAAATGTGCCACAGCCTTTCTCACATCACCTGCTGTGCTCCAGTCTCTATGTAAGAAAACTCCAGATGGTCAAATGTGTCACTCACCAGGTCACCCAGATCCAGACATAGTCATGCTGCTGTGTTTATCAATAGGCATATCTAGAGGCTGTTGAGAACTGATCCACTGAATGCATTTCTGCTTTGCTGCTTAAAAGAAACAACTTGTAATGATCCAACACCTGCCTAGCAAGTGTGGTGTGGACTTTTTAGAACTGTATGATCACTGCAGGCATTGCATTCATCAAAAACAGAATATCCCTTTCCTATTTTATGTTTATCTTTTCCACCTTACCTCAACACAGAGTTAGAGTGTGTGCACCTCTGCCAGCCTTTTCTTTTGGCCTGTCACTGACCCCCTTGCCTTGCATACCTGTGACAGCACTTCATGTAAGAAAGGTTTGCCAATTTCCACATGTTCTAGCTGAACTGAGGTTTTGCTGCTTCTCTAGTGACACACTTAGTTTAAGTCTGAATCGTGCCATGAACATTGGCAGATGTCTTGTTATTCTGTTTCCTCTTAGACATTTAGATTTCTTTGAGATGGTCAGAAATGAAGATGACCTGGAGCTTGCCAAGCGGTTTGACCTGGTAAGTTTTTCTTTGTAGTACATGAACTGGCCAAAGCTGAGCTTGCATCCTTTTGGGATGCTTCTTGCACCTTTCCTTTGTGCTCCCTAAAACTAATGTTTGGCTTTGATGCTGGAAGTGGTTGATGCTCTTGTTTTCACTGTTTCTCATTTAGCAAGCAGGAGGTTTGCACTGTGTGAACAATGAAAACAGTGGTCGCACAAAGGGCTTCTGATGAGTATCTTTGATAAAAAACTTCTTTCTTTTGTTTGCCTGAATGTTTAGGAGTGGAGGAGGTTCTCTACCATGCTCTTAGGTTCTCAGTCCTGATGATCCGGATGTCTTCTAGTTTCAGACATCCCTTTGCAGGACTATGGGTGAAGTTTGGCCTATTTTCTGATTTTCTTCCCAAGATTACATGTAACTCTGCTGATAACTGTTGCCTCAGAGCCTGTGGACAGGATCAGTATTTTAGAATATGTGGATTTTGAAGACTAACATAGAGAGAACCTCTAGCATCAATAAAAAGCTGTAGGGTCCTGAATGGTTTAATCCCCTCTTTCTTTGTGTGCAGCAAGAGCTGTTCACACAGATACAGAACAACTGAGTCTTTCTTGCTTAGCTTCTACTATATGTGCCACCAGTTTCCAGGACCCAAATGTTTTGCTTGCTCCAGAACAGTTCTTGGTGGCTTTGCATGGCTCCCACCTTTCTAGCCTTCTACTTTGGGGATCTTTTCCATACTGGATAGGGATGACAATGGTGGTGTTAAAGACCCTTGTGCCTGTTCCTGGAAGCTGCAGCTGGGCATGGCAGGAGACTTTGCAGAGGTCCAATTGCTGGAAATTTGCCTGTCTTTGTATTGATTGGCTCTTTCACAGTTAATCAGGCTTTTACTGTGGATGGTTTTTCTCTTTTCTCACTTCAGATCCACATTGATACAAAAAGTGCCTCTCAGATGTTTGAGTTGATCAAGAAGAGATTGAAGCATACAGATGCCTATCCCTATTTGTTATCCATCCTCCAGCACTGCTTGCAGATGCCATGTGAGTACATTTACAGATTTCCAGAGAAGAGGTATTGGAGAACTGGGTGAAACTCTGGTGTAGGTACAAGTTCACAGATACCAGGGCACACACTGCCATTGTCTCCCATTCAGAACTTGGCTGTGGCTAAGGAACTTGGTATCTTACACTGAAAAATTTTTGTTGCAATACTTAGGGCAGCAGTTTGACCTCTCTGCACTTGTAAATAAAATTGAGTAGCTGAGACATTCCAGTTAGTCACTGACATAGCTTTTAATTATTTTAAATCAGAAGTTTTAAAAAAGAGTCCTTGTGCTATAGATCAGGGAATTCCCAGAAAGAGATAGCATTTGGAATATTAAAAAAAGACACTGAAGATTTTTTTCTGGTGAAACAGTACAGTACTGAAAGCTGTTCTGCCACTGGGAAATTCCACAGTAAGTTGTCAGACTGCTATCTCATGGCAGTGCTTTAATGGAGAGTTCCCAAACGCAAAGTGAAAATAATACTGGAATTTACTTCCAAAGGAAGTGATAAGAATCTTCTTATTAACTGCAATAAAATAATTCAGTTATGCATCCAGAGTGTAACAGCAGGATCACTAAAGAACTGCCTGCCTTGATCCTGTTAGGTGTGAGGTGCTGGTCTTCCATGATTTCCGTCTGTATTTGAGCAATCAAACCGAGAAGGGAACATGAGGGAGATGTACTGGGGTGTGCTTTTCAGCAAGCAGTGTGATGTGTGGTATGTTCTCAGGCTCTCATTAGATTCAAGTACAACAATGCATAAATTTGAGCAGTACTTAGTCTCAGTGGCCTCTTTGATATTGCTTTTTAGAAGAGAGCTTGAGCTTTATGTATGGACTGGGATTTTTGGTGGCAGAAAGACCAAATCCTGTTAGGCCAGGGCAGGATTATACTGGAGCAGTTTTAAAGAGCCTAAAGATCTTGGTTATGTAACTTAAAGAGTTGAGGTGAATTCAATGTTGCTCTGGCTCTTCTGTTTGGATATCCATGGGATCAGTACCTTTGGTTCAAATTCTGTTCTTTATCTCTGCACTTTCCAGTCATGTTTGTATGAATTTTTCATGCCAGTTGAGTTTCACTGACCTGCAGATAACCAAGCATGCAGATAGAACACCTCATTGTTTCTACAGTGATCTCAAAATCAAGCCCCAGAAAACACTGAGTGTTAGTTATCACAAAGGAATCCTTTTTATAGATGCTTAGTGTGCAATTTATAGCTAACCTGTCAGAAGGGCTGCATAGCCTGAATGTGCACATCAGGCACAAAGTTGCCTGTGCCTGTTATGAGCTGTCCCAGTATGCCAGGTGTTTGTAAATAAGATGCTAGCAACTGCTCAGAGTTAGTCTTTGTGTTCTGTAATTCATCACACACGGGACTGAGATGAAAGGTGGGGAGGAAAGAATGCCAGTTTGTTGGCAAGTCTGGGCACTTTGGCATGGAATTGGAAGATCTCATGGGTTGGTCTTTTTTCAATACAGATAAGAGGAATGGAGGAAACTTCCAGCAGTGGCAACTGTTAGACAGAATACTCCAACAAATTGTTCTTCAGGATGAACGAGGGGATGATCCAGATATAGCTCCATTGGAAAACTTCAATGTCAAAAATATCATTAAAATGTAAGCTGCTTTATTATTGTTTATTTCTGTTATACAGGTATAAGGATATGATCAGTATGCAGGTGCTTAAGAAATAAAATATCATATGTGAGGACTTCCTCATTTCAACTTACAGCTTCTCCTTGTCCTGTTAAGTAGTTAAGTCTTCTAAGTAGTTTCCTTCTAATGACATCTTAGCTTGGCAGTATTTCCCTGCAAAGTCATTGTATTTGACTTCTAGTAACTGTTATTCTGGTTAGAGGATCAGAAAAAATGCTTATGATTTTATAACAAGGCTTCCTCATGTGCCTTTTTTAATTCGGGATGCTCATGAAAGCTTTCCTTGATATTAAAAAGTAAAAATAATATCATATTCTCTATGTAGATCCCATTCCTACTAATGAGCACATGGTTTAGAAAGATTGCAAATAGGGGAAAGCAGTCCCCACTTGGCACACAAAACCTCTTACCTCTTCATAAAATGTCTGTTTGCTCTCACCCACAGACTTGGTTGAGGGCATTACCATTATTTTTTCCCATAGGATGCATCATTTGAGAAGTCTAGCTACATGAGCTGGCTCTCTTCTCAACTTCCCTGTTCTCAGTCCTTTTTTAGCCAAACTTTTGGATTCTTCATTTCATCCAACTGCCTCTGCAGGTAATTCATGGCCCATTACCCTTCCGAATTATCCACTGAAAAGAACATTTATAGAACATAAGTCCTATATGAAACCAAATTCTCCTCTACTAAAAATTTTACAGTTCCTTTTGTTATAGGTGTGAGCCAACATCGAAACTGATTTCTTGTCATGGAAAAATACAGTGGTGTTGGATACCAGACTTCATTGTAGATTTCATGCCTGATCTTCCCTTTCTGCTTTCATAGCTACTCCTATTCTGCATATCTAATCAATCCCCAGCATGCCCTGCATATTTTCTGTCAGTAATAGGAAATAGCTGTGCCCGTATGAGATATGAGAATTGCCTTGTCGCTGATGTATTACCCAATAGAGAAATGTTCTTCCTCCTTGTAAGAAAGAAAAAATAGAACCACAGAGATTAGGAAAAAAACAATGGCAATCTGGTTTTATATTAAGGATGGGGTAATTTGTAACCCATAGCAGCTGTGATTATTTTAGTGATGACCTCTCTCTTTCAAAATAAGTAGACTTGGCACTTTGAGGGCATTACCTGAAGACAGGAATGCATCAGGAATTTCTTCCACAGCCATTCCTTTATCCCTTTTTATGACGCTGAGTAAAAAGGCATCCTTTTCCTATTAGTTGTAGGCTAGGGAGCAGAATCTGGATCCAGAAGGACCACTGGCGTGATCCTGTTTAAACTTGTACACTTACCAGGTTGCCTTTTGCTGATCCCTTTGCAAAATGGCCACTTGCCTTTCAACATGGGTAGCTCAGGAAAAGTTTAAATGATCTCATTTCCTCTTTCAGGCTGGTGAATGAAAATGAGGTCAAGCAGTGGAGGGATCAGGCAGAGAAGTTCCGGAAAGGTGAGTTCATCCTCTTTGCTTGCATAGGCAGAAACTGATCCCAATTCATTCACAGAGCAGTGAGCAGCAGAGCTGGGCACAACTTTTCCTTTTGCAGACATTTTGTGTCATGGTGAACAGTTTGTGTATTTCACAGGATGGGGGTTCCTTCAGTCCTCACATGAAGTGATTTTACAGTCTAACTGAAACTTAGGCATTGCTGTCTTGATCACTGAAGGTCCTTGTCAAGACAGTCAGACTCTATTTTCTTTTTCTTGCTCTCATTATACATCCCTGCTTGAGCTGCCAGAAGTGTCAGCTTTATTTCAGCTTTATTAACCTACATCTCCCCAGGGACTGTTCATGAGCCTTGTTTCATCAGTCCCACTTGCGTGTTCCCCCTAGACCATGCAGAGCTGATGAGCAGGCTAGAGAAGAAGGAGCGGGAATGTGAAACAAAAACCCAGGAGAAGGATGAAATGATGAAGACACTGAACAAAATGAAGGACAAGCTGCAGAAGGAATCCTTGGAGCTGCGCCAGACCCGAGACCAGATGAATGATCTGGTGGCTCAGCTTAATGAGTTCTCGGTATGAGACTGGGAGTCTTCCCCATCCTTGTTTAAAAGCTGCTAACTAGTGAATGATGAACAAAAGCATGTTATACATGAAGCACATCTGTGGTCATAATGGAGAATACTTAGAAGCTACTCAGCTTTTAGATGAGACCAAAATCCCTGAGCTGGTGGTATAGAATGGTTCATGCATGGGCTGCTCCATTCCTTCTCCTCAGCTACCTTCCTTGCAGGAGCTGCTGAGGCACGTGTCCTCCTCCAGCCATAATTTTCCTTGCTGAGTGGGGTGGCCCTGGTTATTATTTCAGTGGAATAGAGAGAAACCTCCCTGATACAAAAGTATGTAAGAAACAGGATTCCTATCATGCTGCAAGAGCATCTGAACTGTCACAGAGTTCTGCAAAAGTGGCATTTGCAGATGCTCCCTCCTGTTTGGTGTTCCCTTCTATCCCAGCAGTGTGTCTGAGCCACCAGAATACAGCCCTGAGAAGTTAGACACTGCAGAAGGCAGATTCATTTCCTCCTCCCCTCTCCCACTTTGCATTACTGAGGCCTAATGACAGGTATTCAGTGTTTCAAACCCTTAGCTTTTAAACCCAGGAGTTCAAAAGTTCATAAGATTGAACTTTTCTCTTTTTTCATACATAAGGAGAAAATAATACATTTTGGCTTCTTTTACTAGCTTTCTGTTTTTCTGAGCCATTTATGGTTCCTTTTTCAAGCCCTTCTCCACAACTCCACGGGCTTGAAACTTTCTCTTAAATGAAAGCTGAGATTCCTCCCTTTATTGCATGGCTTTGAGTGCAGGAGGCTTTAAAGAAAACATCAAATATTTTGAGAGTCGTAATAAAATCACATCAGCTGGCAACATGGAGTTATTGTGCCTTTTAAACTGTTTGCTTTCTTTTTCTCTGTGTTTTTTATTTTCCAGCAAGGGGGCAGCATTTCCTTCCCACCCCCACCACCCCCTCCTCCAGGTGGCCCATTAGCTTTGTCCTCTTCTCATATGTCTGAGAATTTGCCACCACTGCCACCTCCTCTGCCTTTCTCCAGCTGTCCCCCACCTCCTGCTCCACCACCTCCACCAGGAGGACCTCCTCCTCCACCAGGAGCACCACCTTTCTTCAGCATGGGGGTGCCACCCCCTTCAACAACCACCTTCAGCACCAGTGGCCCCAGTCTGAAGAAGAAATCTATCCCACAGCCTTCACATCCACTGAAATCCTTCAACTGGGCTAAGCTGAGTGAGGTAAGAAACTGCATTACTCAATTGATTTACTCTCTGAGTATATGTCAGTGTTGATTAATGCCATGAAATGCAAAGTGGCATAGAAGCAAGTGGCTTTTTGTGGGCTGTGGTCCGTAGGAGTCATTAATTGTATTTAGGGATTCTCCCCAGTTCTCGAGCAGTGCAGAACATCCCCTGTGATAGATTGAGCTGCATAGGTCTGGCCATGCAAATGATCTGGTCAAGCAAAGCTGTAGTGGGACTGAATACCTAAGTGAGAGCTGGACATCTCCAGGACTGGTGTGCCAGAGCTGCCCTCACTTGTACACCAGGGAGAAGGGTGACCAGAGCCAATGTGGGCAAAACATGGTGAGAACCATCTGGAAAACCATCCAGCCACCTCTACTCTGGCAGGAGCCATCACCAAGGAGAGAAAGGTGTCCTGATTCTCCTCACTGTTTGCTCATGGCCATGAGAGAAGCTGCCTTTCTCCTTGAATGGTTATAACTCTGTCTGTAGGTGACAAAACTCCAGGTTGGCAAAAAAAAAACAACAAATCCCAGAGGACTTGGATTCTTCCTGTTGCACTCATTTTTCTTCTGCCTTGGTTGTGTCTCCTTCTCCTTCCCTTCTCTCTTCTCCTTCTCTCTCTTTTTCCCTTCTCCTTCCCCTCCTCTTCTCTTTAGGTCTTAATTTTTTTAACTGATTTAGAAAGAAAAAAAGTGTCTGTGTTGAGTTTGGATTTCTGCCTAGAAACCCAGGTTCTCTTTTAGACTGAAACTCACCCAGGGCCCAACTCCGGCATTTGGAATGAGTGTCCAGGGACCTCTGGAATGCCACAAGAATTCTCTCTCCCCCTCTCCCCTTTTCTTTAAAATAAAGTGAAGTGAAATATTTGCTGCACCGTCTGTGCTTGTCTGTCAAGGCCACGTGGGGGGTGTGGGAGAGAATGTAAGGACAAGGATTTATTTTCCTTTGCAGAACATGGAACTTAGTGCTCTGAAGAAAAGAAATAATAACTAATACATGTATATATATGAATTTATATGAAAAAGAGAGAGTCACAGGTGTTTCTGTTTAGTGTACAGTAACTGTAGGCTTATCCTACCCTCTGGATAAGAGTGAAGGCAGCTGTGCTAATAAAATTGAGGACCTGGGTGGTGAGATGGCTAAAAGACAATATTTTGAGGATGGCAAAATAGTTGGGAAAAGGGGCATGAGAGGGTGGGGCCTTCATTTTGGAGTGTCTGCCAGTGTTAGTGTTTTGAACCTGGTATGGTCTCTGCAGAAGAGCAGAGGTTGTGGTGTCAATGCAGGTATCTCATGCTGTTACTTGGGTTGCACTTTGTTATGGAATTATTTAATTTCACTGACTGCTGGAAAAGTGAAATGGTGGTCATCTTCCTCATTTGGTCATCTTCCTCATTTATCCTAGATTTCCTGCTTTGGTATCTTTCTATTCACATGGATATGAATCTTCTGAGCACAAAGTCATTAGTAGGTTGGATGGGCTTTGTCATGCCTTTTGTTACCTTTGCTGCACTTCTGTGGTGTTCTCCTGAACTGAGCTGTCAGAGTAGCCAGACTGGAATGAGTGAGAACTCAAAACAAACACACTGTCTGGGAGCAGCACATTTTGAGTTTTTGAGCCTGGGAAACTGAGGCTTGGAAGTGTGCACAGTATTTTTGTGGTTTGTGGTAGGGTTTAAATTCCAATTCACAAGAATACAACTTTTCCCCACAAAAACGTTTTGAGGAACAATACATGAAACACAGCAAGGTGAGGGAACGCAGCATTGGAAACAGCTGTACATAAAGTTAGGGCTGCAAGTAGGTATTCAAATATTCAGCTCTTAGTTATCTCTACATACTATTTAGATCACCTTTCTCCAAGCAATTAGTTCAGAGTCTCTCTCAGGAGATTTTTCAGGTAAGTGTGAAGGTGACTGAGGCAGCCCACAAGCGAGCAAACTTTTCTCTGTCCCTGCAGCCTGCCTCGAGGCAGTGAGGGAAAGCCAACAGAGGCCAACAGGAGTGTGGACAAGGCTGGCTGAGATGGATTTGTCTGCAATATACTTTCTCAGTAGTGGAATCAAGGCTGTTCTCCAGGGCAGTTCATGTGACACCTTTTTTTTTCCAATGCTGATTTTGTCTTTGGAAGAAAAGAACTGAGCTGCTGGGTATTGGGAGAAATATCAAATATAGTCAGGCTCTTAGCAGTTGACAATAACAGATTGTCCACAGTTCCCATGGGCACCACAAGAAAAAGTTTGACTGGAAGGGATCTATGCTTCTAACAAGGAAACTCCAACAGCCCACTAATTTCCATTGAGAATTAAGGACTTTGTGCTAGTTTTGATGTAAGCTAATGACCAGTGGCAAAGACATTTGCATGCCTGCATGGTCTGAGTTCTGATGAAGCCCTTCCACACCACAGCTCCATTCATACAGCACTGTGGCATTGTTTGTGAGTTCCATTCATACAGCACTACAGTAGTGCTGGTGCCAAGGATCTCTGTTTTTTAAGAAAAAGATATTGCAATATAACCACTGTAATATCCTGGAAGGATTCTGTTCTTTGTTTCTGGGCAGCAATGCTCTCTCACTCTGAGTTTTACACAACACCAAAGGTCAGACACCAAACATTTATGGTTAATCCAAGCAAGGGACTGGTTTCAAGAAAATTGGAAGTGTGGACTAATAGTTACCTATTTGATAAATATAAACATTGATTTGAAGCTCTGAGAATAAATCAAGTCAGCCTTCAACTGCTCTGCTTCTTATCTCATGTCTGGAGAAGCAGCTTCCCATCAAGTGTCCTGGTAATGACTCTCATCAGTGATGTCAGAGAGCCTTTCTTTAGCCAGCCCTAAATACACCTGACTGAAATAGTTTCATAAGAAAGGTATTTTTTCTACATGCTATATAGGAGTTTTTTAAAAAGCCCAAAACACACACACATAAAAACAAATCAAAACCACTAAACCCAAATTTCCAAAACAGTCAGTCACATAAACAGAAAATGTTCATTTTGACACTTCATTTTTAAAAAAATGTTTCTATAATGTTATCAATGATTCTGATTTCTGGAACTTTTTTCCTGAAAGCAGACTGAAGTTTATGGCATAAAATGATGAAGGACTGCTGCTAGAGATTCAAAGTTAATGGAAAGAGTTTTCCAAAATTTCATTGTGAAGCTAGTCATAATAGCTGTGGTGGTGCCTAGGCCTACAATGAAATAAAATAGCTGATTAATAAACAGGCAAAAAATACAGCTTTTGCTTGAAGTGGATTTTTCTCACACTGAAGAAAGGATCTAATATTAAGAGAAAAGTTTGGAAAATGTGCTTTGTTTATATCACTTTTCAGATTCATAATGGAATTCTCAATTAAAACTTTAAGTTGCTTCCACTTTTCTGGTTAATATTCTACAAATATTAACCTACTAATAAGCAGGATTGCCTGTTCCAGTATCCACAGAGCACTCATCATTTCCGTGGTTTCTCTGAACCTGCAGGTCAAACAAAGGTACTGTAGGTTTTCACTCATGCTGTGAAGTTACTGAGGCATGATGGACTTTGGTGCCTTCCAGAATATCATTATTTATCTATCAGGGTAAATAAAATTATCCTTTAGGTGTAGTAGAGGACAGCTTGGTATGATTTGCAGTGCCATGAGACGCTGTTATTTTTTAATGTCATTAGGTCTCTCAGCAAACTGGGATTCACTATAAAGGTGGAATGATGCAACTGCTACAGCGAGTGAATTGTTAAATGCAACATACCAAAAACTCAGCTTGGTGGAGCAAATGCCTTGTCAATACTTTTTCTCATAATAAGATGTTTCCTGACCTGGTACGTGTCACCATTCCATTAGAGGATGCTGGGAAGTACAGTTCACAGGGTTTGCTTCTCTAAATGGGCCAAAATTTTCCAAAGCACAGGAACCACAGATCATGGAAGACTTGTAGAATGAATAAATGGATGAATAAACAAATAAATGACGATGGAGAGAAAAACATTATAGATAAAATGATTGCTCTTTTTTTTTTAGGTTTTTTTTTTTTTTTTTCCTTTCTAGGGGCAGAGAAGGAAAAAAAAAAGAAAAGAAGGAATAAAGGATTTATTTTTAAATTGTTATTTAGGAGACCATAAATATTTTTATGGTGCTGAGGGAATCATTTATCATCGCAACCACATTATGCAAGTCTGTTTCTCTTAAAATACTCTGTCTTCTCTGGCTGATGACAAGAAACTATCAGCCAGTTAATCCATAACTGTGTAAACTGTGTATGAGGAGTTCAGTCCAGGAAGTTATCTGGCAGCAACATGAAAATTTTCAAGGATGGAGCTTATAGTAGAAATAGAAGGGACAGGCCCATTGCAAGTGTTAAATTGTTTATACCTCTGCCTGCCTTGATTTTTCTTTGACTGCATTAGCCATAAAATTGGATTGCTTTGGTCAAAGTTCTGCTTGGGCACACCATTGCAATGGGTGCTGCTTTGGAATTTCTCTTTCTGCTACAAGTAGCATACAAACCATCCTGAACAGAACCAGATTCAACCAAGCTCTTAAAATGAATCTGAATTGAAGTTGAAATTATTTTCATTGGGTTGTTTTCCTGGGAAAGCAGGGGGAGAACTACTCTCTGCAGTCCTATTCTGAGTCCCAGAACTTCCTGTTTTGGCCCCTTTGCAGTTCATTCAGACTAGACTGTTCTGTAGGACATTTTCACTGTTCTTGCCATTAGTGAGGAAACCTCACTCCCATGAGGTTTTTGCAGCTGGACAGGTAGATGGGCAAGACTCATGAGTAGCTGTCTTGAGTCACATCCAGCCTCTGCCAAACACAGCATACAGGTTTTTGGCATCCTCAGGGCTCTATCCCAGTGATGACTCCAAGGACTCCTGTCAAGAAATATTCTACCATTTCAGTGGTTGATTGGACAGTCTGAAACAGTGAGGCTCTCAGAGAACTGCTCTGCTGTTCAAATACATCCCTCAGGATTTATAATTCATGGTTTACAAAGCCAGCCTGGAAATTGAATGAGAATGATCACCCTGCCTGGATGCTTCTGGCTAAGATTGGCAGTGGAGTTCAGGGCTAGGATAAAAAGAAAATTAATTTTGTCTCCTATTGCTTTGGCTGAGATGAGCCTCTCAGACTTGTTTGCCGTGTTACAGTCACATGTTCTTCCTGCTATGGAAAGAAGAGCCACGCTGATTGCAAGGGGTGATACAATGATAGTGGTGAGCCTGCTCAGGGATGGGTGCTGCTCCCATCTAGGATTTGCCCTCACAGTGAATAGCACTGCAGACACCCCTCCTTACCCTCAGGCACTCACAGGCTGCCTCTGGAGAAAGGGTGTTGGTTTTCCTCCACAGTGTCTGCCCTGACAGGAATTTCCTCCAGAACACTTCACACTTTTATTTCCCCCTCATTTTATCCTCCTCAGTTTTTTTTTCTTGCTCCTTGAGCCTTGTGGCTTAGCACATTTCCCTCATTCCTTTTGATGACTCCGAATGGGAAGTAGAGCCTGTTCCTAATTAGTTCTGATAATGAAGTGCTAACACACTTTGCTGTGTAGGTAAAAGTCAGATTCTTCAGAGCTGGAACCTGTGTGAGGGTTTCATTGCTATTGCTTGTGGTCCCTGGCTTTCTCTGCATCACTGTTCAGCTGGCTCTTTATCTCCTGAGATTTGCTTAGGTCTTTTTTTACAAGCATTTTTGTCCACTTCTTTTTTCTTTTAATCAGCATTTTCATTATTTTTGCAGTTAATAAAGTACAATAAATATACACATAGTAAACTAAACGAACTAATAGTGGTGTCAGTGGTGTAACGAGCACCCAAATCTTGTCCCACACAAACACACCTTAAGAGTCAGTAGGAAGGAGAAGGTAGTTTGACCTTTGTGTCCTCTGCCACAAAGGATATCTGTCCTGAGAATGTCAGCAGGACACCCAAGACCTTCACTTAGTTTAGGATGATTGCCAATTAGCTAATTTGTGTACTCGAGGAGCCTGTTTGTTCTGGGTTTGATGGACAGCAATAAGGAGTAGAAGTCTGTGCCTGTCTCCCTCCATGCTAATTATCTGCCAAACAGCTAGGATTCCTGGCACTCAGGATAATGTATCATCATGAGGGTTGTGAACATTTCCAGTTACTGGGAATGATGCTGTTTCAGGGATCTGGGTATAGTTTGTGTCTATCTGGCTTGACAAAGACCTCATGTAGACAAGGCAGTTCATGTAATAGGAAACAATTAGACTTCAAAGACTGAAAAGCTTAAAAGTAAAATAAAATAATAATTTAAACTACTTTCACAGGCAGACATAATGAAAGCCACCCACCCTTTAGGCTTTACAAAAGAACCTGGAAAAATTTGCAACAGGGAAGATGTGTCTGGGGTTTGTCATGCATCAGTGCTTTTCCTAAGCTTTTTCATCCTAATGGTAACACTCCTTTCAGCATGACACAATTGTTGTGTTAGACAGATGGCCACTCTTGAAAGGAAATATGCTGTGGGATCATGGATAATGCTTGAGATGTGGTCTGCTAGTCTTGGAATGTGCCTTTTCATTAGAGTCTTGCTATGATGAAAACTACAAAATAGTATTTTAAAAACAAACAAACAAAAAAAAAAAAAAACCAAACCAAAACCCCAAAACGAAATACTGTTTTTTCTCCTCTGACTCTTGAAACAAAGTGTGGCCTCTAAAATGACAGCAGCAGTAGATAGCAATGTGACCAGTGAGTAGAAAAGAAAATGATTTATCCAAATGGGATTGGATGGTCCTAGCTAAATATTTTTGCTATCTAGTTAAAATATGTTCTTTCCTTTTAGGAGAGGATCCATGGCACAATCTGGAATGAGATTGATGATTTAAAGGCATTCAAGGTGCTGGATCTAGAAGATTTTGAAAAGATGTTCTCCGCATATCAGAGGCACCAGGTAGGAGTGAACTCTTCCATAACTTTTCTGTCCTGAATTTCTGGAGGAGAAATAAATACACAACAGTGGTCTGAGCCCTTGGCCACCTGCAGTCAGCCTGCATCACTTGATGCTCTGCCACTGTTCAGAAAATCTGCAGACCAAAAGAAGTTGGGAGGGCCACACGGGGCATGGTCTAAACTTCTGGTATGGGTATACTTCATACTCATGGGCAGCTCTCAGCACCTACCAACAGGTAATGCTCTAGTTAATGTCACTGGCCACTGACTTCCAAAAGCTGTGGAGCTTTACATTTATATTTGCATGTCAAACTTCCCGTTTCTCCCATTCATCCAGAGACAAAAGGCTGTACTTCCCTGAGTACTGAGCAAGCTGACTGTAGTAGCTGTCTTTCATTTTGTCTGTTTTTTCTTAAACAGCCAGCTGCCTGAAGTGGTTAGGTGACAGAAATGGTCTGAATTACAGATTATAGAACAAACAGCATACTTTAAAAGTGGCCATTTATTAGAATGTCTTTTTTCCCTCCTCTTTTTCCTGGAAGGCAAGTCACTTTCAATCTATCTCCACTGAATGAGATTTAGCAGCAGATGAATTGTACTTTCACTCCTTGAACTCCCCCAGCTTTCCTTTGCTTTTGGACTATTTTCAGTTTTAGGAAAAGACACAGACCCAACTATCATAAACAACCTTTATGATTATTCCTTACAGTGATGATAACTACTTCATTAAGTGACTCAGTACCTTAAAATTAACAATCCAACCCCTTGTCTTCGGATTTTCCATCTTCTCCCTTCTCTCTTTTTATTTTCTTTCTAATCCAATAAACATAATGAATAACTCTTCTTATTTATGAGCTCACAGCCACATGGATAAGCTGTGAAGAATGTGATGTTAACTGTTGCATGATGAGATTTCATTTCTCATTCTGTTTCTGCAAATAGCTGATGCTGTTTCAGTGGGTCCCTTTCTCTTTCTGTAAATCACATTCCTTGAAAGAAGAACTTAGTTCCCAGAAGGGAAGAAAGGCACACAAAACTTCAGTGCTGTTAAGAGATTGGATTTAGACCCTGTCCCAAGAGCTTCTGTTCCAATGTTTCAGGTGCAAACCTTGCAGCTTCCTCACTACAAATGACCTTGCAAAGCCTTGCTTCCTTTTGTCCCCAAAAACCAAAGCCGAAGCTGTCGTGGTCTCAGTTAGAATCATAATATTTATCGCTATGTTACCAATCACAGGAAGGCAGCCTGAGCTATTCAGCCATAAACTAACCTGACCCTTACCCCTGCCTCCGTGGGTCTCTGAGCTGTACTCTTCCATCCTCATTAAACACACTTTATGACAGTGGCTCCAGACACTAGAGTAACACTTATGTAAGCTTCTTGTATTTTTGTGCAGTTAGACATCTTGCTGCCCTTACAGCTTTTGTTGAGGTTTTGACAGATTTTTTCTCTCCTTAAATATTTTGTTGTTGTTACTTTACATGGTAGTTCTTCCTATTTCATCCATACTTGCTTCTATGTGAACTGGATTCCAATCAACAAGTCCTCATCAATTTTCTTTTTTTTTTTTTTTTTTTTTTAAGACCAGGCAACCAAAATTGCTTTTGAATTAAAAATTAATGAGAATTTTTTCAGTTCACATTTAGTCTTTTTTCCTTTTACTTTCGGAAATGTTCCATTCTGATCAAGTATGTATTTACTCTGGGTTTGTGACTTTTAAACTTCATCCAAATGTCTGTCTGTAAAGAAAAATGTCAATGCAAGCCCTGCTCTTTTGCATCTGAAATGTTGAATGAGTAGAGATAAAGACATTTCTTTCTTTGCTGTTATTAACATGACCTTCATGTTTTTTCCAGTTTCATTTACATTAAACAGTTTTTCTATTTTCTAGTTTTGTTAGTGACAGAGGGTCTCTTCTCCTCTCTCAAGCCCAGTGTGTCCTTTTTGGTGGCTAAGAGGGAAAGCAAAACTGTCCAGTGTACAGAATGCTGGACCAAGTATTCTTACAAGGTCTTTTGACCAAGTATTCTTACAAGGTCTTTTGACCTTGCCCTAATCTTACTGTGTAATATTGACCTTTTGATTCAGTATAGCTGGTGTTTTCCTGGAATAATGAGTAAGTCATGAAATAGTTGGAGTCTGTCTTCCAGAAGTGCTGTACTGCCTCTTTGGATGTTACTGAGCGCTTTCAAAATACTTGGCTACAAGTTGTTAAAGGGTATAACGTGCCATTGTAACAAGATCTTACTTGTTATGCTTGTTAATACCCACAAACTGTGCCTGTGCATCAGGAGAGGAGAACTGACCCTCAAGTTATAACCTTGGCAATTCTTTCAGTAAGGCTCTGGACTGGATTTGTAAAGGTATTTAAGCATTATCCTAGTTAATATTTAAAGACCTAAAAAATTTATGCTTTGGAGACCAAATTTATTATTTTCATAAAAGACCTAGGGCTCTTAGTTCTGTGACATCTGCTGATTTAAAATATGCAGAGAAATGCTGAAATACCTTTGAACCATCTGTGCCAGTATTACTTGCTAAGCATTATATGCTGTTAGAAAACAGTGTGTGTCTAAATTCAGCTGCCTTGTTAAACTTGGTACCTTTCTCTGTGCTAATTTTTGGCATGTTTCCTTCTTCATTATTTGCGACTGCTGCCTGCATAGGACCTGCTAACTAACCCCTCCTCCTGTAAGCAGGTGAGTATCATTGTCTGCTTCCTGATCCTCTTGCCATGTGTGTGAAGGTGAATTCCTGGACCATGCCATTGTGGGGTCACAGCTCATGCTACTCTTTCATATGCCCTTGCACTCTGCTTTCTTAATGGGAAAGGTGGTACAGATAATTCTTATAGCTATATTATTTCTGTGATAGGAGGTAGTTCTTGTTCTTTCACTTGCTTATATCTCACTGCTGGTGTCTGTAGTCCTTCTTTTCATGATCCTGAGGAAAAAAGACCAGGGACAAAGAAGAATGTCAGTGTGAACTCTTCCTTAACCAAAGTAATACTCTCTTGAGAGGAGAACAAAAGGGTCTCTCATGGAGTCTTTTCTCCCACTGTTCTATTTCTGTTCTGTCTGCTTTGGACAGTACTGAAGTCTTCAGATGCACTTACTAGCCTCAGACTTTCTGATAAAGGAAATATTTCTTTGCATAGAAGTGGGCACTTTGGCAGAAGGATTTGTGCCATCTGAGGGGCAGAAGAGTTCCAAATGGACAGCTGAAACCCTCAGAAAATTCAGCAAAAGATTAAAATGGTGTTTAGATAGAGATATTAGGTCATGCACATGTCTTTAAACTGGCTACCTCTCAAGCAAAATTCTTGGCAACAATTTTGAGTGAGAGTGATGCTATCAGGAAAGGATTGATCAGATATGATCATATGATCTCAGGTGGTTTCAGAAGAAATTAGTTCGCACCATGAGTGCTCAGGTATTTGGGAAGTCTGGTCACAACTTTTGCCACATGGGGGTGGCTAACGTGGCAGCATATCAACACAAGTCAATATGGTAGACATAGTTCTCTGAAGTATTGATAATTGCCAGAAGCTAGGGTGCTGCCATGGTAGGAGTCCTCAGCTAACCAAAATCAAATTGTATTTGAAGAAAGGCACCAATGTGATGAACACATTCCACATGTATAGTCGTTTCACCACTGAAATTTTAGTTGCGTTTTGAATTTGCAACTAAAATATCAAATCTGAAATATTCTTTGAAGCACATAACATAGTGTTATCCCAGATGAGAAGTCAGTAAAGGATGATGGCATAAAACTTAGTCATCTTGGCTGTCAGGTTGATACCAGCTCCAAGTGTTCTTGTGTTCAGGGCTTGGGCTCTCTTACAAAAGCTAGTTGCCACTGCTCCCTCACTCCTCTTTTTCTGTGTCTGAGAAAATATGGATAGTCCATATGCAATCTGTTTTCCTTGAATTAAGCTTGGAATCTGGCTTTGGTAAAACCTGAGGCTTCATCTGCTTTTGCTTACACATGACTCCAAGTAGCTATAAATACCTCTCTCCTCAATATGAGTTGAAGAGGATATATTTTTAGCTGAGTCTAGCCCTTATGACCAAGTAGTGGGTCATGTCTGAATAGTTCAAGTTATTCATCTGTGTTGAACTCTGTCGGTTGGGGAATTGGAAATGGCATGGACACTATTATGTCCATTCCTGCTGGACGGCTCTAAAGAAAGCTGGCTAAACCCCTGCATCACATACATAGCAAAAGGCTGAAACTTTTTTTCCCTTGGGATGGATGCTTGTCACTATCCAGGTGTCCTTGTCTGTAAATATTAGCTAGTGAGGAACAGTGAAGCTTTTAAACCAAGAGCACAGAGCAGCAAGTAGCTTTCTTCCTTTCAACAGCTGCCCATGTCCATATTCCCCTGTCTTCTTCCTCACAAACTGAGAAAACTTAAGAAAACTTTGAAATCTCTATGTGCCAGATTATATTGGGGAAACTCCGCTTGTTGGTATTGTTAGATATTCTCTCAGAAATAATAAACTTACCCAATGCCAATTTTACCTCTTTTGAAAACACTGTTTGATTTATTGAGTAACATTGCAATTTTATTTCTGCCAAGTTAGATGCTTTAGGCATATCTAGAAGAATTTACTAAGTTCATGGCTTCAGCTGGTGTATTGTACCTGTTTAAAAATGTCACTTTCTATTGGTGGTGGCTCACTGCAACACTTTTGGATGTGGCTGCATGAGTCCTTTGTATATGCAGGAGCAACACAGATTTGTGGTAGCTGACTGTAACAATAACTGAAATGACAACTAGCAGTATGAACCTATGATTTACACTGAACACTCAAATGCTTGGGTATCAAAATCTCTTTAGAGTTTAGTCATGCTGATGTAAGTAAGCCTTGAGTCGCAGAACCTTGAGTCCTGAGAGCGAATTTTGGGAAGCACCCATTCTGTGTGCTTGCCATAATCTGACATGTTTCCCTGAGTTTCTGCTATTGGCCACTCCCAGGGTCAGGATGCTGGGATAGATGGACCTTTTGATCTGACTCAGCATGCTTGCTGTTACGTGCTAAAAAAGAAGTCGTGTTGCTTATTTGATGGGTGCATTCAAAGCTACATTATACTGGTAAATCTCAAAATCTCAAGGCCTGACAATATGGATATGTCATGAAAAGGCATTTTATAAATAGTTCCTGCAGCAGTTAGCTGAGAAAATAAAAACATGATGGTCAGATTGAGTTTGCAAATATTTTATCTCGGTGTGCTACGACAAATGTTCTGGACTGGATTTTCAAGTGTTTTTCAGGTGATGAATATGGCAATGGGGTTATACAGACAACTTTGCAAAAGGGTGATTTCTGTATTATTAAATGTATTAATTAGTTTTTTTTTTAAAGAGAAGATAGTTTAAATGTAGATTTTTACCATTTAGTAAGATATATTTAGTAAGATAAATGCCATCATGCCCTACTGTTTGCATCTCTCATATAATGTGGATTGGTCAGGTGCAGTGGCAGCCATAAGATATAACAGATGGGCTTTATTGCTTATGCTGCAGCCTTTCAAGAATGCTGTGTAACCCCTAGAGGAGGCATCTGCTGAAGGATATGCTGTGACACCAGTGATCTTCCTCAAAATGTGCCTGATTCTCCTATCACACCCATTTTTCATATTAACATAATGTAACTGATGGTAGAGTGAGTCCAATAGGTCAGAATCAGGGCCAGTATTTAGCATCAAAGATGAGCTTATAGATGTTAATGAATGATATCTGTTTGTCCAGTGACACAGGATCTACTCCCATGCTTTCTGCCTCCGTCTCCTTTTCTTATCATGTGGGTGGATATTTCTAGGTTGGGATGGGTTTGTTCATTACACTGAGCTATGTCTATCAGTCTTGAGTGAGAAACATAATACTGATTGTTTTCCCTCCCTTTTGAAATACATGCAGAAAGAGATGGGCTCAACAGAAGACCTCTACCTCTCCACACGAAAGGTGAAAGAGCTCTCTGTGATTGATGGCCGGAGGGCCCAGAATTGTGTCATTCTCCTTTCCAAGTAAGTGTGCTAAGCCTTAGCTCACAGGGTGTGCCATGATCAATGCAGAAGCAAGAGGGGATGAAATTAAACAAGTGGATGTGTTTCTTTTCCCAACTAGATCCGCTGTTTAATACCTGCAGAGCCTCAGAGAAACCTCTCTTACGGTGTCATAAAAGGACATTTCTCATACATGTTATCTCACTTAATAAAAATATCCACGCGCACATTTTGCAAGTCAAACAGGTGGGCATCAGCTTCTGTCAGAAGACTCATCATCAGAAAGTGATCAGTACTCATTGGTAGATGAAAGCAGCTCTTTGGCAGTGCTTGCACTTCACTCTAAGTAATGTGTCCCCCATGTTCTATTTCTGTCATTTGTCTCTGTTCTGTGTATTTCTTTCTAAATATTGCTCTGACCATCTCCCTGGAACAGAGCAGAGCTGAGTGTGATGTTCATTTTGGACTTGTGGTGAGAACAGTGGCAAACACTGGCATTCATATTCAAGACCTGAGATGAGCTAAGCTGGTTAGAGCATGGTGCTAATAACATCAAGGTTGTGGTTTAAATCCCTGTGTGGGCCATTTACTAAAGAGTTGGACTCAATGATCCTTGTGGGTGCCTTCCAAATCAGAATATTCTGTGAAGAATTAAGTCTTCTATTTGTAAATTGTTTTTGAAGCCAAGAGTTGCCTTTGTGTATTCCTGCAATGACTAATGCATTCAAATGCAGTGACATCAGGGTCCTTTTTTTCCCCCATGCCTTTCTACCAACATGAGTGCTGGGTTTGAGGTCTGTCACTATCAGATTTGTCAGACACTGATCAAACTGAGAAAGTTGCCTTTCCTACCAGAGGAGGAACAGCAAGGCTGGAGACAAAACTGTGGCAGTACTGAGCAGCAAAAGTGTTTCATTGGGCAGTAGAAAATATGGGTTCATATGGGTGTGATGCTTGTCTGTTCTAGCAAGCTGATAGTTAAAGCAAGACTGCAGCCAGACCACCAGGAATGGAGTGAGTTCTTTCCCTTGCTTAGTGAAACATGTGGAGGCTCTCATTATGCTACTTATGTGGCATTAGCCTGCATGTCAGCAGGACCCCCACCATCCAAACCTTCCCTGAGGAAAGGCTTACATTTCTCTCTCTGCAGAGGTTGCCAACACACGTCTTTGCTGGTGTTGGCAGCTGGCTGAGGCTGGGGCAGAGAGAGAGGCATAAGGGAACCAGGATTTTCATGCTGTTTGATGAACCTACTGAATTGTGTCTGGGGTTCAGATTAACTCTGTAAGCAGGTGGAGCATTTCCTGGAAGTGGTAACATGTGCTCAGTTGGCTGGGCTGAGGAGGATCCAGGAAGGTGGTCCATGACTTGGTATGGCACTAGATATTTATTTGTAAAAATCTTCTGTCTCCAAATCAAAAGCAATTTGGACAGCAGCAATGCATGTTTTTCAACATTCACCTCCTCTGGTGGGCAAGTCTGGGCAATCTTACCGGAGAAGAATCCTCTCCATACAGAAAGAGAGAGGGGACAGTTTCAGTGTTTTGTCTTTCTTATTGCTGCCTCCAGCAGCAAGGTTATTGAAGCATGAACCTTGAACTTCAAGATACATGGCATGTGTTCACTCCAGGTCTGCCATGAAATTAGTGGAACTTGAACTGCTAGTCTGGACTCAAACCAGAGGTGAAAGCTGTGTTTTGTGACTGTCAGCTTCTTCACTAGGAAATATCCTGCTCTTATTGTTAGCGTGTCTAACATGGAGGAAAGAGATTTGGAGATTGTGGTGTCCCTATGGAGCCTGCAAGTTTGCACTGTGCTCTGTTAACTTTGCTGCTGTGGTATTGGAAACACCACCTGCCAGGGCTATCCCACTGGCTTAGATAATATAATGTTTGTAACAGATAGTGTTACACCCAGAATATCAGAAATATTTTTCAGGTTGGCCCAGGACTGGTATTCCTCCCCAAACCTCCCTTTTAAATGAAACCAGAAAAGCAAAAATCTTTGGGATCTGAAATAGCACCTTTACATTCTTGCCTCTTTTTTTGCAGTTTGCTGTTACATGGTTCTGATATTAAAGACAGGAATTGGAAGGAATGGCTGCAGACAATAGTTGAAAGGGCTTTATAACCCCTTTGCAGGTTTTTTCATACCCCATGTCTTCCTCCTTGAGGTTAGACCCTGAAGAAGAGACACTCCCAGCCAAATTATCCCTGCTCTGCACTGCACTGCATTGCTGCCATGCACTTGCTGCTGCTGCAGCACAGCTCACCACATGCATGGGGGTGTGCACACACATACAGTGAGAGGGGATTTAAAACTGGGGACAAACAAAAGGAGTTTCTGCAACCCAGAGCTGCAGCCCCAGATTTCAGGTTGCCACACTATCTGCCAACAGCTGTTTCCAATTGACTCTTACTGTGCATATATCCCTGTAGTTTATTCCCCCTTTGTTTACACTAAACCATCATGTCCTTTAAAGTAAAATAGCTGCATGGGTTGGGTTTTCTTTCCCTCCCCTACTCAAATGTTTTTGTTTTACTAACACTGTGTTAGAAGGGGTCAGGCAGAGCCCATATTTCATATGGTCCAACAAGCCAAAACATATCAAGAGTGAGAAATAGATGTCTCGCTTTCTTTTGCAGAGGGACTACCACATGGTAGGCTGAAAAGAGATGAAAATTGAATTGCTAGTTGATTTTTGCTGACATCTAACAAATTCATAAACCTTCCTCCCCAATCTCATCTTTACTTCCATAAAAAGATATCTCTTTCAACTACTCGATAGTAGCATCTTTCAGTTTTCCTGCAGAGAAAGGATTAAATTGTCCCTGTTTAATAGAGTCTGATGGATCTAAACCAAAGCTCTGTTCCATAGGCCATCTTCAAAGGCTTAAAAAGCATAAGATGAGTTTCTCTCACAATACTTCTAGTAGGCCATAGTTAAATCAGGGCATGGAACCATCTGTTTGTAGTCAGTTCAGGTGGCCACCAGCTTCAAATTTAGCTTTCTTAATGGTGTTTCAAACATATAGTTACTTTTGTCACACTGGAAATCTGCTATCTCTCATGAATTTCCTGATGTCTTCAGTTTCCTCCAGGCTGGAGTTTTGTTGTCAGACTTGTGTGGTCTGTAAGAGTCATCCCAGATCCCTATGTTTCCTTGCTTTCACCTGGCAGCTGGAAATTTCTCTGACCTCTCTCACCGCTATGGCTTCTCCCTGCCTCCATTACTTAAGTAATTGATAATATTTTTGCTGCTCTGTTTTTGTAGTGTCATTTCTTTAAATGGCCTTGAAGAACATGCCCAAGATATGTACTGTTCACTGTCTTGCACTGTGAAATGCTCTGGAGAGACTGAGTTATTTGAGACATCTTGCTTGGAAGAAGGCTGAACATATACTTACGGAACTTAGTGCACATTGTTTTGCATGATTTCCAGTGAAATAATTATGTCAGTGTTCTTCTGAATAATGTGATGAGTTTGTTATTTCTGTAGCTCAGTGAGTTGGCAGTAACCTTCCCAAGAGGCTGGAAACAGTAGGCATGCTAGCAAAATGTCATAACACCAGTAGTAGCAGAAAGCAGAATGTGACTACACAAGAATAGTTTTAAATGTGAATGTGACATTAGACAGGTACTAGCAGGCAGGTTTATCAAATGTTTGTGGCTTTGTGAATCAGTAAGGGAGAAGAAAAAAGGCTTGGGCAGAATTTCCAATGAGAATACAAAAGAGATAAACTATTTTTCTTACATCACTGTACCTCTTCAGTGCTTTTAAACTTTTTCATTTGAGACATGAAGGGGATGAACTATTCAGCCAATGTCACTCTGTGTACCAGCTTTGCACTGCCCCAGTCCCTGTGTGCCTTTCTGCCATGGGACAATTCAGTGTTCACCCTTGTTTTAAGGTAAATTTGAAGCACTATGATATTCTGGAGTACAGATCATATCTTGATACAGAAAGAGCTGATTGGACTCAGCATTCCTGTTCCTCAGTGTGCTGCATTGAAAAACACTGGGCAGTAACCAGTGCCTACTGGATTCCTGGAGAGATGTTTGTTTTTAAGTAAAGGTCCACAATAAATGGCTTTACCTGCTATGCTGAATCCATACTCCAAGGCAAACTGAACACATCAGTCAGTGCCATCTTGTCTGAGATCACAACCAGGAACTTGAAGGTAGGGTTGTGATAAAAGACAAACCCACTGCTTCATCAGTATCTCAGGGTAATTTGGGGATTCCCATATTTGGTCCTGCTTTACTCTTGGCTCAGAAAGATAGTCATCCCCAGATCCTTCTTGGAAGGTAACTGAGAGTAACTGAATGCAAAGTTGCTTGGTTACTCATGAGCTTTTGCTGAAGGAGAACAAGAAAAGAAAAGCCAGTTTCTTTCTGTACTTGCCAGAATACTTCCACAGTGATGTTCTGAAAAGGCGCTGGTGGATTTTTTTTCCCCAATGTGTTGATATAATGGTGTAAGATGTACCTGGTAAAATGTCCCAGCTGTTGTCCCACAAAAGAGAAAGCACTATTGTCTTCACTCATGAGATGAGTGGGCAGCTGGGATAAGGGGATGTGGGAAGAGTGGCTGCATCTTTCTGTCTTCTGGCTGAATGTGTAGTTAGACCAGCCTGCCTCCTGAATGCTGCTTCTGAGAGGAGGCCTTTACAGATTAGTGACAATCAGTATTCCCAAAATGGAGATATTGAAAAGCCTGCACTTTGGGAGCTGTACAGAGCCTTAGGAGAGCTCAGGAGTTAGACAAGGCTTCTGTCTCAGTCACAAAGTTTGGCAATGAATTGCCTGTGTGAAATGACTTTGTGGAGATGGAGTATTCTGCAGTCACTAAAGCTAAGATTTGGGTGAGCTGTACAAACTGGCCTTAGTATGTAGCTAAGTATCAATCAGTGCTTGTCACTTTCACAGATATTATATTGGCATCTGTTGGGAACACCATAGTTCAGCAAGAGGTATAAAATGTCCTTGATACATGATAATCAGTCCTCTTCTCCAAGGTAAAAGGAACAGTGGGTCTGTGATCCATGTGGTATGGGAACTTAACATAGCTGAAAAAAAACCTCAATTTCTCTGTTAGTGGGAAAGTATGGTTCCTTCTCAAAAGCTAGGAAAGATCCGAAGAACAAGCCCATGATGTAACTCACTTTTTCCTTGGAGGGGGAGATGGTTAGTGAGTGACAAGCATTTTGCTTTGATTCATGGGAGGGAGAAAGAGAGGGGGGAGGTTACTGTGAGTTAAATCAATGGGTATATTTAAGGAGAAAAAATGAGCGAGCACTGGGTGTCTGTAAGGGAAGTTGATGTAAAACTGCAACATGTCTCCCAGGCATGTTCTGAGTCAGGCTGCCGGCGTTCTCCAAGAGGACGAAACAATAAACCACTTGATGTCTGCAAGTGAAGCTGGTGTTAAATCAGTCGAGGTGTCCTGGGGAGATTAGTGATGAATTACTCTGCAGAGTCAATAGAGATTATTTATGATGCCGGAGGGGATAGAGGGAGGCAGGCTAAGTACCATATCAGAAGTTATTTGGTACTTGTTGAGCTTTAACATTGCTTGAAGATGACTCAAGCAGTTGGACTTCCATATACTGCCACCAGATGTATGGGTGAGGGAAGAAGGAGGGAGTATTTTCAGTAAAGATCCTTTTCCTTCCTCATCTGGCCAGTGTCAGGCTCCTGTTGAACAAAAACAGGCAGTATGTGTGCTACGAGTGAATGTGCTGCAGCTGAGCAAAGGGGCACTGTATTTTGTTCTGGTCACATTTACTTCCTGTGTCGTGATTGCAGGATACGTGATTTCGAGAAGGGTAAGGCAGAGGGAATACAGCTTGAATTGTATGCTGTTCCAAATTGAGTTACCTCCAGCAGCTGGAGGAAGAGTGCCTGGATCTGCAAAGCTTGTAAGAAAGTCATTGCAGCTTTCCAATAGATACCAAAATTTAATTTCTGTAGTGTAAGTTTTTGGGCCATAATTGCACTTTAATTTTGCTCTCTCATATGAGTTTTAGGCTCTGAGGGATGCCTCTTTTCAGTTTTAAATGGAAAGATTTTACGCATCTGCTTTAGGTTCTTCTTTAATCAGTTCACCTGCTTCTGTTTAAAAGGAGAACATCTGTTTCACATTACTGCTGGCCATCTTTAAGATCTGCTACATGGCTGGGCATGAGTTTTGAAAATACAAGAATCACTTGATTAACAATTCTTTGGCTGCTTATTCAGACAGTTTGTAAATGGGAAGATCTGTGTTTTGTGTCACTGTTGCTTTTGCAAGGCATCCTGTCCCAGAAGAAGAACAAGCCCATTTTGGAAGAGTAAGATTGTTCTGCTGTAAATCCTTCCGTACTAGTAATTAGATTGGTAATAATCTAGGATGCACACCTGCAGGCACCATGACCCTGTTGCAGTCCTGTAAATGACCAAGTTAAACTGCTTCTCAGCAGGGGACTGGCAAGCTTTCTGCTTTTCTCTGCTGTGGGCTAAACCATTCAAACCAGATGTTTTTCTGCTGATGGCTGGCGGAGCACAGAATCATCCAAGAAATCAAATTGTTGGTATAACTCTGTGTCCTTGGGGCTCTCAATTATTTTTGAACAGAAGATGTTTTCAAGTGTATTTAATGCTGATGAATGGCAGCAAACAGAAGAGCTTGGAATCCTTGGGCTTCTGGACAGAGCAGCAAGATCAGTGGTAATATATGCAATACCATTGTGTTGCTGTACCTCAAACCTGTTTATTTGGTCCTGTTTACTGCATCCCCAAACACACACAGAGGTACTTCCACTGTGTAATGGGTGGTCAGTGAGTAATTGCTCGAGTTACTTGCATGGAAAACACGTGAAAATGCACCCTCATTCTTTGTAAACTCTGTGAAAGTAGCAACAAAACCCCTCCACCCTGGCGTTAATGGGTTGCTTTATTTCATTCCCTCTCACAGACTGTGTGCCTGTGTTACAAGACTCATCTGCAGACTGCAGATTCTGAAAAATGCAAAGGTGCTCTCTAAAGGAAGAATAATCAACAAAAATGTAGCACTTTAAAAACTTCAGGCACTGAATTGTTTGGGCATGTGCGTATGTGTCTCCTAGGGACCAGGCCCACAGCCACCAGTTTTAGCCCTTCTCTGGTCACAGTGTTTGATCAGAGTCACATAGCTGTGGACTTTACAATTCACTGTTTAAGCCAAAAGTATGCCTTCCACTTTCTGATTGAGGCTGTAGAGTTTTGTGCAGAACCTCATGTACTTAGGTTTGGTTTTTTCATCCAGGTTCAAACTAATGACCGGAAATAAAAAGTTTCCAACCTTTCCATTGTAAAACTATTAATCCTTATATCTCATCTGAGCATGACCCAATTATGAAGCTTTTCTGGAAATTCAGTTCTTTATCTTGCTTAGCTGGTATCAGTTTTCCCTCCTTGTGGAAAGATTACATGATGACCAACTTTGAACACAATAAGAGGAATTAGTTCAGAGATGTAATACTTACAGGATTTCAAATGTCAGTTGATTCATATTTTAGTTTCCAGCTGTTGGTTATATTGGGCAATATTAAAATATTTTAAGTGTCTTATATTTAGTAATATTTCCTGTCTATAAAAAAAAAGCTTTTTCTTTTGCTTTTACCATATTTTTCCAAAAATGTGATTCTATCCAAGTGCTAATGGCAATATGAAATTTCAACATGGAACTTCTTAGCACTGAAGATTAAAACATTTGCTTCATGCATCAGCCTGTCTCTTATTTATATTTGCATTTTCTCTTTCTACTATTAATTAATTGATAGTAGAAAGTCCATGAAGACTGTAGACTTCACTCTTCAAATATTTCTTTTTACACTCTACTGTTTAAGTCCCAAAACTGAGATTTTCTTGTGAATGGCTTTTCCTTTATGGTTCACTTCAGTATTTCCTACTCTCCTGAAATGACTGAGTATCATGGGTTGGGGTTGGTGCATTTCTTTGTTGACATCTGCTCCGGGAACAACCAAGTTCATTTCAGGTATCCATCAAGCAACATCTTGGTAATGACAAATTTTGATGACTCCTGATCTGTCCTGGATTTTGAGTGGAGGCCTTGAGACTTCTTTTCTTTATTGATTCTGTGTTCAGTTGTAGCTGGTGGCTCCTAGTCATTGTACACAGATTGACAGGAGTAGGTGGTAAGGAGAGTGTGATCTTAGTACCTCAGATAACATTAAAAAGCTCTTGTTTTCAGAGCTTGTTTCACAATATGAAACATGGTTTTGCAGATGCTGTCTGTTCCTATGTCATCTGTCATTGCTGACAGAGTGAATTTACCTGGCACAAGCAGTTTTCTTGCAAGAAAACTCTTTCTCAGTAAGGGAGTTTTCAGTCCCATTATTTGTTACTCTGGGAGATGCTTTATTATTCACAAGTCAGGATGTTACATGAGCTCACAGTCAGAAGTCACATGGGCATGAAGGGTTTTACTATAGCAAAAGAACTTAATAAGGGAGGTGTCTGGTATGGGGGAGCTTGGAAGTACTTTTGAGCTATGAGGACTTGGTTGTTACTAATCCCCGTCTGATTTTTGATGTTTGATTAGCTGAAGAGGATAAAAATATATTATCCATAAAACCTCTGTGTTTAGAACTGATTTATTCCTCTTTCTGAATATTCTAGAATAGCAATGTCACAGTAGAGCTTGCTGTGGTTGCTTCATGCCTGTTTAGTGCAGTGTTTCAGGCTTCCTACTTTCTGAATTGTCAGAGTCACTTAAGCTTTGCACTAATGGCACAATGCTGATACTTTTGAAAGGTTGAAGCTGTCTAATGAAGAAATCAGACAAGCAATCTTGAAGATGGATGAACAAGAAGACCTAGCAAAAGATATGCTTGAGCAGGTGAGAAAGACTAAAGTTGGGTATAACTTATTTTTAGGTCCTTCACTGCCTTTTCTCAAGTGGATGTGTGTACTGGCACTGCTGTTTTTCTGCAGATGAGAACTTGGCTCTGTCATGTCAGTGGAGCTGCACAGGAGAGCATGCGAAAAGTATTTTCCCCAATGTTGTTGTGTATACCTCTGTCATGTAACCGTTTCTCTTCTTGGTGCAAAATTTGCATGATTATAGGTGGTATGAGGTTTCTTTTTAGGTCCTCTCTTTTCCATAATTTTTCCTATCTCTACTTTTTCCTACTGAGTATTTATTGTTGCTGTTGTTTTCCTTTTCTCTTTTCTTTTTCTTCATCTCCCTTCTTTACCTGCCTTTTCTATTGGGAAGTGTCAGGAACCAGGCTATGTAGGTCAATGATTAGAGCCAGGACAAGAAGGAATCACAGGAACCATTAGAAGGGGGGGCCAGGTACTTCCATCACCAGCACCTGGTTGGCTGTATAACTTGTGAGGAAGAACCCCCCTCAATTACACCACCATTGCCCAATTTCCATTTATAGAAGGTGACAGATGATGCTTTGACCAAAGAGGCATGTGATAAAGTTCCTTAGGAGTGTGCAAAACATTATAATTATGAACTGTCTAATAAATGTGATTCCTTCTTTCTGGGCAGTTAGTGTTTAATCATGAACCAAAAGCTTTTCCATTTTGGAAATTTATAGCCTACTTGTCATGTTCTCTGAATAACCACAGCTGCTCCAGAAGTCACTGCAAGCTCCTGATGCTCCACACCTTTGAATATCACATATTTGCAGAGTGCAATAAAGTATTAATAAGCGGTAAAAGGCATATGCCTTGTGAGTGGTTTTTGTGGGTGTGAGCTGAGGCTGTGTGCAGGACAGTATTTGTAACCATACTAAAGCACAGCTACCACCAGTTCTGTCAAAAGTCTGTCCAAGTACGAGCTTTTAAGGTCAGCACATGAATAGCAGCCAGTGTCAGACGCATATCCAGTTGTTTGGTTATTGTTTATTGTTTCAGCAGTGGAGGGCATACCCGAGAGAGATAGATGAGGCTTTGTGTGTACGATAGGCACAATGGGTACTTCACTCTGTTTGGGACACATCCTGCTCTTGTTTGCACCAATCTAAACTCCAAGTAGTGCTGTGGGAATCAAGTTCTCTCTGTACTTCCCCTTGGGTAAGTTGCAGTAGCACTTGGCCTTTAGGATTTTGAAATGGGAAATTCCCCATAGAATTAAAAATTAATCTTAATGGGGTCAGTGAAGGATAAAGACAGAACAGCAAGCAAAGGTTTAGAAGAGGTCAGTTTTGTAGACACAGCTGCACTTTTTTGAAGTTATGGTCACACGGCTGAGTCAATGTAATGCTTCCCAGTGGTAGCAGAGAAATCTGAGGGCTCTCACTACACCAGAGTTTGTTTGTGCTCCTCTGTCCCCCTCTCATTTTCCTTGGATCTCACATCTCAGTGTTTGGTTTGTGTCTCTCACTCTAGCTACTGAAGTTTGTTCCTGAAAAGAGCGATACTGACCTGTTGGAGGAGCACAAACACGAAATCGAGCGCATGGCCCGGGCGGATCGTTTCCTCTTCGAAATGAGCAGGTCTGTTTGGTACATTACAGGAGAGTGCACACAGGACTTCTTGGAAGCAGCTGTAATTGTTATTGAAAATGGATCATCTGGTACTGTGGGGAAATGTGCAAGGTTGTGGGCCAGCATTATATCCTGTGTTTGCCAGAAGCCTGTGAATGTTACAAATATTTCTGTTCATGACACAAACTTTATTGACAAGAAGCACTCTCTGTGCATAAGGGCCTGTGCCCTGACAACAAGCAGAAATCTGCCTCCTCTGCCTAAATTTGTTCACAAAAAGGAATGCAGATACAAGTGTCAGATGTAGTGTAGCCAGGGGTCAGGATTTCATATAGATCCCTTTTTCTGTTAAGCTATCTCATCTCCTTATCCTCTGACCCTCTTTCTTGTTCCGACTTTGCTACACCCCTGATGAGGATTAACATTTTGTTCTGCTAATGGAGGTGTGGCTGGCATCTCCCATGACTATATTTTAAATATAGTGGGAATTCTTCCAGCTCCTTTTCAGTTGAGAGTAAAACGGGACTTGAGGTCCACCATTTTCATAACAAGGTTGATTGTGTAGTGTTATCTGTTTGAACTATGTCCATAATCCTATGCCTTGGCTTCATGGTACTGAACATCCAACCATTAGATTATGTGGGGAGCATACTGGCCCTGGACTTCAAGAGTTCCAGTTCAGTGTTGGCTTTCCTCTGCCCTTCATGCAGGATTGACCACTACCAGCAGCGGCTGCAAGCATTATTCTTTAAGAAGAAGTTTCCAGAGAGGCTGGCAGAAGCAAAACCAAAAGTGGAAGGTATGGTTAATATAGCTTTTTCTAAGAGTTGGGCAGAGGGGTAGGGAAGGTCAAGAGGGGCTTGTCTTCAAAGGAGATGCTGTTACATGCATGCTGTGTTTGTAAAGGCAGTGAGCCCAAGGCATGTCGTATCCTAAGAAATAAGTTCAGTCTGACACTCTTCTTTCTCACCCATTGACTTAACAAAGTCTGTTCCATGGTTGTTACACTGTAAATATGACCTGACAAATATGACAGTGTGCTGTCAGCCTGTGCTGAGCTGCCAAAAACTTTCATAGCCTTTCTGTACAGGTCAGCTTTCCCTTCTCGCCCTCAAGTCCTTGCATCTTCTCTCTTTAAAGGGCACTTAGAATAGATACTTCAGGACACTGATGATCTGGGAACGTGTAACCTAGAAGCAGGGGAGGTGTGTGGTTTCTGTACCACATCCATGGTTATTGCAGAGAAGAAGTGAGTGTATTCTACTCTACATTTTCAGAAGAGCTCAAGCCTTCCCTCTGTTCTCACTGGCTATGTTTTAGAGTGTGAGGTAACAGCCTTGGTCCTATGTTGAGAGGAGCTTCCTACAAGTTCAGTGTAGTGCATTTTCCTTCCAGTTGCCTTCATTCTGGGGTTGTGTGGGTGCAGGAAGGACAGCACCCAGACAGAGTTGCAGCAGTTGTTGTGCAAATGCTATTCAGGGTATTTCAAATTATGGGCCCCAGCATGTTAAAAACAGCCACTGTGCAATAACAGCTTCTTTTTTCTCTCTCTTCAAGCCATTCTTCTGGCATCCAAAGAACTCATCCGAAGCAAGCGTTTGAGGCAACTCTTGGAGGTAGTTCTTGCCTTTGGGAATTACATGAACAAGGGCCAAAGGGGAAGCGCTTATGGCTTCAAAGTCTCCAGCCTGAACAAAATTGCGGACACCAAATCCAGCATAGACAGGTGGGGTGAAAGGCCATAAATATGTTGGTAACTGTGCTGCTCTATCTATTAGCATAGTAGGGAAAATGGGGTTTTGTTTGCTTTTTGCTCTGTAGAAAATTGAAAATCATGTCTTATTTGGCATTTGAGTAGTGCTTTTCACTCTTAAAGATTCTGCAGCAATTAAGACCAGCTATTAACACAGCAACCAAATTCTGCTGTTTCTCTGGATTGTGCACATCTGATTTGGAGTGTGTTTCTGCAACCTTATGCATAGATGACAAAATGTATTTCACAAAAGCTGAAATAAGTTTAGGGAGGAGGAGGATTTCTATGGAATTTTCTCTTTCTACCAAAGTTTTATGGCCATAGTCTTGCAAAAATAGAAAACATGAAAAAAAACTTTTGAGCACAATTTTATGTCTCCTGTGAAACATGGTGTATATTTCTGAGGCAGGACTGTCACAAACATTTTCTCTATGTATACCACTAATGAAACCGTAAGGCATAGCTCAGAGAGACTGATCCTGGTTGTATCTAGGGCAGATAAGGAAAACAGCTGGTTTTGGAATGTGGAGTTTACTGTTCATTTACATGGACTGCAGGTCTTTATAGTCACTCTGTGTTTTGCCCCATATCCCCATACTGGTTCTGGAAATTAATCCAGCTAAGACTGGGTAGAGAATATGACTTTTCAACTACAGCAGCACTAAGGTTTTCCTTGGAGAAAGGAAACTCCTTGGAGTAAGAACCTTGCAGGTTCTTACTAACTTGCACCTTCCTTGAATTTTAAGACCTGCTGAGACCATAGTTGTGGTTAAATTACTTCAGGTGTGGCAGAATGAATGATGGCAGTAAAATATCATAAGAAATTCATCCCTACCTAATAGAGTTTGAACTAACAGAGTACTGTTCTGACTACCAAAATGTCCTTTTCTGTGTTCCAAGGCTAACAGTTGTATAGCAAATGTTGAACTCTTTTTTGCCTTAATGTAGCTTGACTTAATTTTTCCATGTATTAGATGTCCTATGCAGATTCTGTTCCCTCACCAGTTTCCCAGCTCCAAGGCTCCAGTCTGAGTGAAACAGTGGCCATCTGCTATCTTCCCTGTCAGTTAACCACATAACACCCACCCAAAGTAGCTGTTATGGCTGTCTGTTCTCTTTACATGCAGAATTTCTTGTTTACTTTACAAATTTCCTTAAACCCTCTCCTGCATCCTTCATACTACTCAATCCCATCTGCTCCTACTTGGGCTGCCATTGGTTTTATGTTAGTACACATAAGCTCAGCTGTTTCATTACTGCTGTAGTTTTTTTGCAGCTTTTCCAATCTTCAAGAGCTTTTCTCTCTTCTTGATCATCTCTGGGGTTTTTTTCTCCACATTTCCTCTGAGGACAGCTTGCTTCTCCCTTAAAAGTTAATGTCCCTTTAGTACTATTAGTTGTTTATTCTCTGAAGTATCTGGTGACAAATATTATACTGTGTTATGCAATTTTCTTTTCTATTACACCATCTACATACATGGATGGAAGCATGCTGGTGGTCCCAGAATAAATTAGGATACATTATATTGCTTGAGGTTTTAGGAAGGATGGTTCATAAAGGACTAATCCATTTCAATCCTTTGCACTTTTCTTTCAGTAGCACAGCTGCTAAGTGCTGACACATTGTTTATTTTGTTCAAACAAACACATTTCCTCCCCAAATATTTTTCACTGATTTGTCACAATCCTTTCACTATCCTTTCTTTCTTGTGACCATCTTCCTTCTCATTTCTACCTTTTGTTTTTATTTTGTTTTCTTTAGGAACATTACACTCTTGCACTACCTAATTATGATCTTTGAAAAGAATTATCCAGATATCCTAGATATCCAGTCTGAGTTGCAGCATCTTCCAGAAGCAGCAAAAGTCAAGTAAGTCCAGTGCTATTACTTCTCAGAGCTGAAGTTCCCAGCAATTTCTGTTAACTTAGTTATCATAATTTTTTTTAACTTCTGTCTTCCAAACCCATGGCCAGCCTTACAATTGTAATGCCTTTGTTGTACATAACTGAATTGATAGCTTTACTTAGATTTTCCTGTATTTACTTTATTTCTGAATCAGACTTTCTAACTAGGCTGGCTGTTGCTTGTGATTCACTTACCATATTCTATGGCTGTTCATCTAAGTGTGCTATTTTTTCTGGGTAATTGCAGGTTTGTTTCTAAGATAGGGTCAGTTAGGCACAGAGGCTACAGTAAATCTTTTTCAGGACAATTCAGTTCAAACTTTTGCACACATCAATCTTGCACAGAAATATGGAAAGCATCATACTTTTGCAAAAAAGTCAATGGTCCATTTCTGGAAGTGTTTGTGAAAAATGACTACAGAAGCCAGCCCCAAAAATACAAACTTTTTTTTCTCTTTCCAAAGCACTGCTCAAAAAATATTATGCATAATATTTACCCACACATGATTCTTCGTGTAAGGAACTAGTCAACAAATGAAAGACAAGTGAAAAATTAATGTATTTTCACACTTAAAAGGCATTAATTAAAGCTTTAGTGGTGTTTTTGAGACGTTAGCTACTGCTCCCCAAATATTTGGAGGGGATGCCTGCTGACTCACAAATAGGTGCTCACTAGTTATCTGGAATTAAAGACTTATTTTTGTCACAAGTCCTAGAAAAAAAAGAAACATTTATATATGATGAGCAGGCATTCAGTGTAACATTTGTGCCTAGGGAAGCATGTATGAACATTAACAGTACGTTTCTATGCTCAGTTACAGTGTAAGCTGGCCCAGACTACCATATGGTAGAAGTGCAGATGGAAAAAACTAAGTTTGAACTGGGAGGGAGGAAAAAAAAAAAATCACATGTAATTGTACTGCTAATGGGATTTAGTAGTTATGTGGTGTAAGAATCATATGTAGAGATAATGTGAGACTGCAGTGATGTGTGTGCTAAAGCTGTGCTCCTTGCTGGTGTGTCGGCTGATCTCTGCAAGCTGGCTGTGGGGCCTACGCTCCTGGCCGAAGGGTCAGGCACAGCTTGCAGGGCAGATGTTCTGAGGGCAGCCTCCCCCTTCCTTCCCAGGAAAATCCCAGTTTTCAGTGTGACCACAGGCAAGCAGGGTCTGCCTCCTTTTACATCTTACATACAAAAAGTAGCACAGAGCATCAACAGATCCCCCTCCCCTCGTTCCCAGTCATCTGGCGTGGCTGGTGCCAGAGGCCGGATCCCAGACGTGATGGGCCAGTGGTCTGTGCTGCTGCACAGTTCCTGTACCCCTGAGTAACACTGCTCTTTTTGTTTTATCTGCTCTGCCTCTGTCTCCTGTGCAGCCTGGTAGAGCTGGAGAAGGAAGTCAACAACATAAAGACTGGATTGAAAGCTGTTGAAACTGTAAGTATCTGAAGGTTTCCAAAGTGCCACAATTACAATATCTCTCTCAGAATCAGGGGCAGTATATATTTTATGATAAGATAAAGTGGGCTTTCTTTTTTCATTCCTTTCCATTCCATTCCAGAATGCATTAACCAAGAAAAAACAAATAAAAGCTTCTCATGTGGAGCTCCTGCTGATGATCTTAGCAGAGTTAAGGCTAATGAAAAGCTTGTTTGATCTCAACCTGGAAAGTAAAAGGACAGTTTGAAAAGTGGCATGGACTGAAAGAAGAAATAAAATTCATACTCTTTCTTACTGAGGGATGGATGTCTGCTGAGCAAGTGTTTCACATGGCTCTTGGAGTAGTAGTAAGCAGGTAGTGCTCTGTTATATGCAACCCTATCTTCTACCCTAAGCACACCTTGGGAAGGCAAAGGGAAGGATAGAAACTAGTTAAAAATGAAGCAGCTGAGCTGGCAAGCAAAGGAACATTACTGCTACTAATGAAAGCTAGTTGTTGAAAATTGCATTGGGTGATTTCTGTGCAAGGATTACCTGTTTACAAGGGATTAACACAGGACCCTCCAGTCCTTCTCATTCACGTGAAACAAGGCAGTGATGAGTTCCTTTTTCTTTCATGTGATCTGAATTTGCTTTTGCCTCTGCGATAGAGGAAGGTATCTTTGTCCTGTCAGTGGCCCCCAGGCTGTCTGGCTGTTGCCAGCAGTTCATTGTGTAATTAACCAGTGATCCTCCTGTGAGGAAAAACCCCCAAACTTTCCCAAGCTTATTTCTGGATTGTTGGGGTAAAGGAAAATGCAGCAATGAGAAGAAATACTGCTCCATACATGGAGTACAGTGTTTGGGAATTAAAAGAACCTGTAAAGGGAAGGCTGACATGGAGTTCATGACATGAAAAGAGGCCCAGTTTTTGGCTGGGACAGACAATTCCCCCCCTTTGAAATGTGAGTAGCTAAGTCTGTTTTGCTTTCTTTCATGAGATTATTTGTCCTTTTGCCTTGACAGCTGATTTTTCTTCTCTTTTCTATACATGGGTTCCATGGGCAATCTCTCCTTCCCATACAATCACCATCTTCCTGCCTCAGTCTTCTTCCTGCCATGGTATTTTCTTCTGAGGCTGCCAGCACCTCCCGGTCTGCTTGCTCAGTCCGTGGTTTTCTGGCGCGTAAAAAGCAGCACTGTAGCAACAATAGAAGATCACTGTCAGGTGGAAGGGGGAGGAGGGGAAGGTGTGATTCTTGATTTTCTTCCAGTGTGTTCTCACCACAGCTTTGGCTCCAGTGACTGGTGTTTCTTCAAGGCCCCTTAAGAATAGAAAGCTAAAAACAGTTTCACAGTCAGATGTTCTTAAAGGTACTACGAACCATTTGGCTTCCTGGATTTGCAGCTCACTTCTATGTAAAAATAAGATGCATTCATTTTCAAGACATTCATACAGCTGTTGCCTTTGTGTAGGATGCTTCCAGAAGGACAGATAAGTAATGGAAGGGAACTTTGTCATCAGAGCCCTTCTCTCACACAGCAAGAAGATCATAACCACCACTTGAGAAATTACTACCATGGCTGAATCATTTCATCCCTCTAGAGAACCCAGCCCACCAGGGCCAGTTCCAGCCTCTGTTGTGCTACTATGATTAGCAGAGATAATTTCTAGAAAATTTAGAGGAATTTATTTTTCTGTGGTGTCACTCTCTGGCTGATTACATAGTCATACTGGTTGCTTGTGTAGATTTAAAGCTTTCTTGCATTTTGAGGTAATTATTCTGCAGGGAAGAACTGAATTTGAAATTGAAGAGCAGACCACCTAATCTTGATTTTACTTTGAAAAACCCTACTTTCAAGTAACAGTCCCAAACGCCATAGCTTTCAACAGAGAGTAAGAGGACAGAATTGTTATACTCACTGCCAGAGAAAGGGGGAAGGAGAGAGTGGAGCAACTTTCAGCTAAAATAAGCTTCAAAATTAGAATGAAATTAGAATGAGAGTGACTGAAAAAGAAATCTTAGAAGCATGTGAAGTTATATTTCTTGTATTTGTAAGATTCATTTAAAAGTGATTGTAACATAGACAAAATTCACTGCAAAATGATGTACTGAGCAGTGCTCCCAGGACTGTCCCTTGTGATCTGTTAGGAAACCAGGAGAAGAGAATTTAATGCAAAGCAGGGGAAGTAGTACTTCTTTATTGTGGGCTTTCTCTGGCCACCTTCACATTGCCTTTCCTGCCCCTTCTCTCCTCTGTGGTCTTTCCTTGTGGTGGTTGCATTCTTTTTCCAACTCACACCAGACCAAAAGATATATCAAGTCAGATTTTAGGTTGTTGATGGCCAAAGTAGTTCTTGGCATTCAGCAGCACTGTGTGGAGCAAATCCCAAGGTGTTTCTCAGCATAGGTGCTTATAAACCTACCCATTCAGCTCTGTGAACTACTATTTTGATGAGCAGTAACAGAGAGCACCCAACATGCATGGAGCTAGAGCTGCAGCCAGCACAAAAGTATTTTTTTCCAAAGGGAACAGAGGGTCACATCATAACTTGACCTGCTGCTTCATGCTGCTTTCCCTACAGAGAAAGTCAGGCTTTATCATTCCCACTGATTATTCAGCCGAGAATAAAGATGAGGCCCAGATTACAATTTGATTGTCCCCATGAGACTCTCAACAGCACACAAGCCAAGCACAGGCATGAGAGACATCCAGTCTCACTATAAATTAGCTAGTTTCAGGAGGTCTGTAGCTCTCTCCATGTTTCAAGCATGATGATTAAAGTCAGGGAAGAGATAGCTATGGGTAATCTTGGCTTAAAACTAAAAAACTTGAGCCAGAAAGAATCTTGCAATCATATTTTTTTCTTTTGGTAGGTAGCAGACAAATAGGTCATTGTTTCCTATGGTTTTATGTATTCTTTTTACTTTTACCATGACTCTTCTTTGCACAATAGCCCCAGTTTCTAATTGTCACTTTTATGGCGTCCAAGATAATGCTTAGGATGCTAACAAATGTTGCACCTGGCATCTGTCTACTTGTCCTTCAGTGGAAGAACCAATTCTGATGTCTTTTTTGCTGTTCACCTGCTGCTTTTCAGAGAAATAAAGAACAGATCTAGAACACATTTTCCCAAGTATACAGCATTTTGATTGACCATGGGAAGAGACAGTGGAACAAAACTCACTATTAAAAATCCTAAAGTCACTTGCCACACAAAGCTCTTTATCATTTGTCATTTTGCATAGGGAAAAAATGCAGCACTTCATGTAGTTGATGCTTAAATTATGAAACTGCTTTAGAAACTTAGCATGTTGATGGCTTTCTTGGGAATGGTTGTCATTTGAGGATAAATGAAACTGTAACCAGGACCTTCCTTCATCCCACCTTGACCTCCCCTCTCTTGCCTAAAAACTTCTGACTTAGTGAGAAAGTGGTTTCTAAGTTAGAGCTCTGGATGAATGTGGGAGCAGAGCCTGCTCTGCAGTGAGTGAAACGGATGGACTTTCCTGCTGCCTTCCTCATCACTGAGGAATCTTTGACACTTGCATGTCTCTATCTCTTCTCTTTCAGGAGCTGGATTATCAGAAGAGACGCATGCGAGAATCAGGGGACAGGTTTGTTCCTGTGATGAGCGATTTCATCACTGTGGCCAGTTTCAGCTTCTCAGAGTTAGAAGACCTTCTCAATGAAGCTAGAGACAAGGTAAGAATTCCTTTTGAAGTGAATAGAGTTTCATCAGCTCAGTCAAAATCCTGAATTAAAATGGAAACAGTGATTTTAGGTGATGGGACTGCCATGAAAACTTAGTAGAGACTGAAAATTGTTCAGGATGAAGTTTCTTATTTTTTCTAATGTGGTGCATATCCATTTAGATCATATTTTAGGATTAAAAGAAGGATCATGCTCTTACCCACTTCTTTCTAATCTTTGCATTATTCTTGTGTGGCATAGAATTGCAGTGGCAGTATCCTGCATAACAGGATACCACACCTTGCCACAGTGTGGAAGGGAATGCCCTTTAAGCCAAAGCTAAGAAAGGGGTCCTTTGTTAGTGATGGTGACTTCACATCTTTTTACCTTCTCCTTCTGACTGCATTCCACTTTGCTCATTCATCTGGGGACATTTGTGCTTTGTCTCTTTCCTTTAAAAATGTACCTGGTAGTTTGGTGTCCTGGTTTTAGCTGGGATAGAGTTAATTTTCTTCTCAGCGGCTGGTACAGTGCTACACCAGCTATGCTTGATCTTTTCCACTTCTCTGTTACTGGGTGTATTTCAGTACAAAGATAGAAATCCCAAACATGTGTGGTTTGTCTGAAGTTTTTGGTTTCTTCTTACACACCCAGAACCATGTGCATGTTTATTCTTCAGGTGCTGCTGCAATCATTTTGTCCTTTCACTGTCTGCACCTCCATTACCAGACTGGTGCACCTAAGGAGGTGCTTGTTCTTTGCTGATGGCTGGAATCTGGCAGTAATCCCTCTGTCTCTCAGCTGAATGAGGAAGAATTTATGTGAAAAGATCATAAGCATATGAAAATGTTTAGAGAAGAGCAAGTTTTAAAGTAAATTATATGTAATGGCAAATCTGCCCTTGTTGGCTGGCATGTTAAAAGTGCTTGGCTATATGAAGCAAAGGGATTATTTCTTTTGGATTGAATTGTTTCCACTCTGGTGTCAGTCCTTTTAGTGTTAAAGGACCTATTGCATTACTAATGAAAGCTGTGCTGTTGGATCAGAAGGCCTTAGATTTTGAAAAGATAGGCTAAGGATCTTGACAGTAAGACTCCTCATTCATCCAGTTCCTCTGCAGTAGTGTTATTTTGTGATTCAAAAACATTTCCTCACTGTGGAGATAAAGTTGGTAATAGTGACTTGCAGCTGCAAACGCCGGAGCCGCCGGCTGTCAGTGAGGGCTGCCCTGGCAAACACCAGTGGGGCAGTAGCTGTGCAACACTCAGAGGGCAAAGCTGGGCAGGCCAACACCACAAAAAAAATTCTGGGGAGAATAACATGACTACTTTTTCATAGTATCATGGAATGGTTTGGATTGGAAGGGACCTTAAAGATCATCTAGTTCCAACCTCCTCCCCCCAGCCATGGGCAGGGACACCTCCCACTAGATTGGGTTGCTCAGAGCTCCCTCCAGGCTGGCTCTGAACACTTCCATTTTTCATTGTTGTCATATTGCTTGAGAAAATTCAAATTACTTCCAGTGTAATAATGTTCACACCATACTGGCTCTCTAAGCACAAAAAAAATACTTTACGTTCTGTGACCCCACTAAATTTACTGAGAAAAACTTGTTTTTTCTCACTGGTCTTTGGTTTTTTTCTTTTTACTGAGAAAAACTTGGTTTTTCTCTTATGGTCTGGGGGCTTTTGTATTATGACTGGGTAAATTTTTCAGTTTCATTATAGTTAGGCAGACATTTCTGGAAAGATATTCACTCTGTCCATGGCTTAGACTGCAAACTTTTGGTTTGGTGTTAAAGATGGTGGTGCTCCTTTCTTCTTGGCACACCAGGACAAAAACCCAATGCAGATTCTTTATAAGTTCAGTTGGGGGTTAAAAACCAGCAAGTGGTACATGTCCAGCACAGCAATGCAAGTTTCCTTGATCAGACACTTTCAGGAAAAATGCCATTCTTTTGCTTTAAAAATAACCAGAGAAACTCCCTGCAGACAGAGCAGTATGTCTGGAAGTTGTTGTACGCTTTTTTAGACATAGCCAACATAAAGCACTCAACATAAAGAGATGTTTTATTTTAATGACTATAACATGCTTAGGAAACGTTACTCTACCTTCTCCTCACACACCCTTGCTATGTTTGAACACACACCATTCCAACTTTTGCTCAACCTATGGCTTTGGTTCTTCCACTGGCAAAAAGCTGCTTTTGGATTCCAGTAAGGGAACTGTCTGTCCTAACCAGCGTTGAGCCATTTCTCATGTTTGCTTCATATTATTTTGGCCCTCTCTTCTTCCTCTTTTTCCTCTTTTCTTTCTTAAAAAAGGAAAAAAAAAAAAAAAAAAAGGAAAATTTCAACAAACCAGATGTGCTTTGCAAAGCTTATAACATCTTCCAACCTCAATGGGCTCTCTGTGCTTGTTGAATCACAAGCTTTTTTCTTACCATGGAAACATAATGGAACTAGACAATTAAAGGAAGAGAAGGACCAAGACATCTGATTATCCTGTGCTTTTTTTTGATTTCTCAAAGCAAAGAAAATTGAGCAAAAAAGGTAGTGGGGCAGGGAGGACTTTGAACAATATCCAAATGAACCTAGGAAGAGCTGGTCTGACTCACAGATTTATTAATAATAATGAAGCCCTAGTTTTAACAGCTGGAGTTGAATATCCTAAATTTAGATGTGGTTAATTGATTACCATGAGTTAATCAGAACCATGTTTCCTCAGCTGGGATTTAAAACAATATAACTTATCTTTTCAAACTGGGGAAGTTTTATATTTTTCAAAACTTTTTCAATATTAGCAAAAGTAATTTCTTTAGTGATGGAAACAATCCATTACCAAGATGTGGTGCTGACCTTCTCAGCAGACAATATTTTTCACAATCCCATGCAGTACCTTTTTGGCCTTTTTGCTTGAACAGAACCATTCAAAGTCCGTGGCCATGGGGAGGAAGTGATATTTTAAATTTAAAGGGCCAGGTTGTCAGATGCAGGCATCCATGTTTGCAGAGGAAGCCTTGTAACTGTACTTATCTTCATGCAGTAAACAGATGGCTCCGTTAAGAACTGATTAAAAACTTAGACCAACTCTCTAAACAGGCTTTCTAGCACAGCTGGTTCTTGTTCTTTTTGTGTTTTTCTCACTTTCAATACCACTTTATTAGGGAGTATATAGATTAGATCAAGGGATAATGTTTTCCGCCATTTCCCATAAACTGGAAGGTGGGGGCAGGAGAAAGTGAAACTCTGCCCTGGAATCCTTCACCAGTTTTTATGTGTTTGAACATATGAAAAATTGATTTTTTTTTTTTAACATAAGAAAGAAGAGGTTGAATTTTATTCATGAAAATTTTTTTCTGTTTCCTGTGGGAAAGCAAAGAAAATGCCCAAGCAGAGGAAGAGTAACCTCCTATGGTATGAATTTTGTTTTCCTACTTGGAAAAGGTGCCATTTGTCCTATATGAATCTTTACTATGTACTTAAATATTGACAGGTATGAACTTAGATCACTAGACTTCCTCAGAACTGTTCTGCTTTGTGCTTGGTTTATAACAAACCTGGCTTTAGGACACTTTGGATCTTGTTAGGAGTACAAAGTCTGCTTGGTCAGATATTGCCATCCCTGTGCTAAATGTCAAATTTAAGCCTGTCTGTAGAGATACTGTGAAGACTACTGCCTGGGCAAGGTGGGTAGGAAAAGTGTCTATTTCCAGTCTTTCTGATGACAGTTCCTCTCAAGCAAGGTGTGATGGAGAAAGGAGTTCAGAATCTGCACATACATTTAATAAGCTTAGCACCTAGAGTAACTGTTTTGAAGAATAGAAAGGCAGTGAAAGCTTGCTGAGTGAAAACCATTTAAGAAAATAGTCATTGATGGCTGAATGCTATGAAGCACAAAGAAATGCTGTAGTCCAAGTGCTAGTTATAGGCTGTGCACTTATGCATTGTGGGGACTGGTGTCTTCTGTCAGCCCCTGCGGAAATGAATAAGGACATGAATAAGGAAATGAATATCGGGACAGAGACTGAGGATTCTACAAAAGACACCACTAGCCATTTGGTAAATAAATCCACACAGCTGTTGTACAGTAACTTAGAACTTCAGATGCTGCAGTGCAGGTTGGCATCTTACTTATGAGAAGAGTTTAAAGCACCTGTAGCTCAATGTAACTGTTAAACTCATGGGAGAATCCTTTAAGAGCATTTAGGCATAAGAAGAGCTGGGCCCAGCCCTGCCTGAAATTGGCAGGCCTCCATTAACTGATCTGTCCCATAAAGAGAAAAGGTATTTATTTGACCTGCCTCAGTACTTAATTGGTGTCTTCATAAGAGCACACTCAAGAGTACTTGTCTGAGGAATACAGTTCACGTTCCATGGCTGCATGGTATAATTCAGTTGTGTATTGGCTCTTCCCCCAACAGCAGACAGCACAGACAGCAGGAAATTTTTATCATGGCTGTTTGTTCTTCTCCTCATAGAGCCCCATTCCTGCCATTTCCAGAGGTCTTCTGCCACTGTTTAACATTTCATTGGCAAGCACAGCAGAGTTTGTGTGTGCTGCTGTCCCGCTTTCCCTCTCCTTGCTAAAATGGCTTTTTAAAATAAACAACTGTCTAAATGATTTGCTTTGGCAAGAGGATAAATTCAGTGGAAAGTTTGGCAGAGGAAGCAGAACTGGCACTGAGCTCGTGGACCTGTTATATCATGGAGCTTGGGGGCCCTTATGGTGCAGAAATGAATTTTTTAATAAAAAAAGATATACCATTCTGTGTTACAGTGGAAAACCTGCTGAAACACAGTTTTCCATTTTGCTTTTGCCCATGTCATCTGTCCCCAAATGACTTCAGGAATAAGCAAGTTTCAGCCCTTGTTCCGCAATATTAGAGCACATCGCAAAATTCTGGGAAGCATTTTTCATGCATGAGGACTTAGCTACAGATTTCACAACTGTGCACAAAGCTGGTGCTGTTTGGCAGGGAACCTGCCCATGGAACAGTTAAGCGATCTGTACATGGTGACACAAATCCCATGACAGAGAGGGCTGGGATCCAGAGCACCTTCCTCTGTGCCACTCTGCCTCTTAATGCCCTGAGTGAGGCAGGCAGTGGGATTTTAGCCACTGTGGGCAGGGAGAAGCCTGGACTTTGTGACAGCATTCTGGGGGCTGTCTGTGGCAGCTCACTGCCCCTCATCCCAGCACTGGTGTTTGGAAAAGCACATGTGGTCACAGACCTAGAATTGCAGAGAAGTAGAAGAAGTAATAAAGCCAGAGGGGTCTGTTGTAGTTTAAACAGTGAAAAGACAGCATGTGTCTCTTTACAATAGTGCATTACATTAGTGCAGTTGTTGTACAGATGTGAACTGCTTTTGCCATTTGCTATATCAGATCAGTGGGGCAACACTTTCTGTTCTGTAACCAGTGGAGAACACAAAGCTCAGAAAGGAGGCATGAATTCCCAAGCCACATCATGGGCAGAGCTGGCAGCAGAAGCTGGATCTCCTGACTTGCCTTCCTCTGCTCAGTCAGCTTTTTTTCCAGAGAGGGTAGAGAAAGAAGGAGAGTGTTTATTTCAGTGAAGTCCAGATTTTTCCTTTTGTAGTTATTTTAGGTCATCCAGCTCACAGAGTTTTTGCTTTTTGTCTTTCACTGCTTTACAATAAGTGATTGTGACCTCCTAAGCTCTGTGTTACAGGGCACCAAAGACAGGCTGTTCTCAGCCTCCTTGCTGCTGCTTAGAGACTGCAACACCTTAGACTCATGAGTGTGTCTGAAAGGCTCCCAGGCTGCTGAGACTTTCCAGCACAGCAAAACTGCTCCTCCTCGGAGTGGCAGTGGGGAGGCAGTGGCAAAAGCCCCTCTTGCCAGTGTGACACGAACTAGCTGGTCCTAGTAGTTGGGTGACAGGCCTTGTGCAGAACATTTGCAGACAACACCACCCTCTAAAGGAGACTTCTATGTATATAGGATTCAAGAGCTCCAGGCAAGGAACCTCTGCCTTTTCAACCTCCAGCTTCCTTAAGTGACTAGGAAACCCCTGTGGACATTCATGGACTCAACCAGCTCATTTCTGTGTGCCCTCTCACTCACTTTTGCCGAGCACAGGAGGTACATGGGATGGAGGAGTGCATTGCAAGGTGCAACAGCCGTCTCCTGGGAGCTGCCCCTGACTTCAGGCTGTGCAGCAGTTGGACAAGCCTTCCTTCTTGCTGGCAGCTCTAGTCACTGCTCTTAATTTATGCTTTACTTGCAATTTTCACAGGAGTTAATGACAAATTAGGTGGGAAGAGATTCCAGGTAGCACATGCCCTGTGAGCAATGAGCTTCAGGTGATCTGTGTGTTCAAGCAGTGGTGGCAATGCCTGTGCTGAAGTCTTTCTCTGGCACTTTTCTGCCTCCCTGGCTGATTGTCACACTGAAGCAAGCAAGATGAGAAAATAGAGCATATGGAGATGCTTTATCTCCTTCTGTGGTATTTACAGCCTGTATGCTCTCTGCCAAAGAGCTGGTGCTGGTTCAGTGCGGGTTATTGTAGACTGCTGCACTTCCCCAATATTCAAAAAGCCTATGTGTGTATTATATACAGATGAAATTACAGAGAGGAGTGGGGAGAGGGTGTAGGTGTGCATACTTTGGGTATGTCTTCAGAGGCTTCAGAGAAAAGGAGTTAAACAGAGAAGTAATCTGTTGCTGTTTCTATGTGGTGTTTCCTTCAACTCCTGCCATGTTTGGTAGCTCAAAGCAATTTGCATTTCTTCCAACACTTTTTTTCCAAGATTCTTTGGGTTTCTTTGTTTGTTTCTGGCTGAGAACACAGCCTTTTTAAAGAAAGAAAAAAGAATCTATTGCTTCAAACTGCTTTGTGGGCCTGGCAGGGATAGCAGAGAAGGGGAGATGCTGAATCTCTCAGGCTGTGCCAGAAGGAAGTTGCTTTCTTTGGAGATTTCTTCCCCCTGCAGTTGACTGGGAGACATTGTTTATGCTTTACCTGGTACAGGGCCAGAGGGGTTTATAAGACCTGCTTCCAAATTCATTTTGTGCTGGGATCAGAGCCTGAACTGTTCTTACTGTCTTTTCCATTCTGCAAGAGCACTCACATAAGGAAAGGGAAACTGGCCTGTGTTAGTATGGGCTGAAGCTTGAGGACAGTCCATAGGCTGGTTTGGTAAATGTTGAGGTTTGTGAGGATGCTCTGCTGCTCTGTGGTTGTGTGCTAAAGTGCAAGCAGGGAATGTGCCTCAGGGCACAAGTCCTGTCAGGAGTGTGTTCCTGGGGCTGCCTGCTGCAGCCCAGAGGAGTGTGAGGGTGGCTGGACAATGGATGGATGTGTGTCCTTACACACCACTTACTGTACATGTGTACATGCTGCTGACAGATTATATGTGCTTGCATTTGAGTGCATTTTGGTGAGCAATGAGACCTGCTTGGGAGTGTGAGAGTGCAAAGGAGAGAGTACAACTACTGCAGGACTGATGTCCAAGAGCCAGGGGTTGCTGTGAATTTACCATATCCCATCAGGACTGCCCTCTGACTGAAGTCCTGCCAGTTGGCTGCCTCCATATGTGTCCTGCAGCCTCAACATTTGCCTTTTAAAATAAAAACCACTTGTGATGTATTCACTGTCTTTTAAGTCTGCCTGGGAGCCCTGGCTGCTTTCCTTGCCCCTCTCTCATGCCTTGTCTGTCTGTAGTCTCCTCTCTCCTGGGTAACACCCTGACTCAGAGGACTCCAGAGAGAGGGATGACATTGCAGAAGGTTTCTGAGAGGACAGACTGTAGCTTTATTGCAAAAAACTTTTACCTCCAGGCATTTTAAAAGTGGATTTGAAGGGAAGATGGAAGGGAAAAGTATGGAATAAAACTACTTGTTTCCCCAGCTAGCTCACTGTCTTCCATGCCCTGGCTGTCGTGCAGCTGCAGCCAAGATGTGGTCACAGTGTCATCCTCTGAAATTACTCTGCTGCCCTCAGGAACTAAAGATCACTTTTTGTATCAGTGGACAGTTAGTGCTCTCCCAGCACTATTGCTGCATGTTGCCCAAAGGATATCCAGGAGACTCTTCAGGGATGGAGGCACCTGCCTTAAGGAGAGGCACTTCTGTTGTTGGGGGTAGTTTCTACTCTTGCCACATGAATACTCAGAGGGTATTGAATTACTTGGTGTGGTTACTCATAAGCTATCCTTGCTGTCTTCACCAAACTGCCTCCCTAATTATGGCTCTTGTGTTTTCTGCCCCCTTGACAGTATGCCAAGGCACTGAAGCATTTTGGAGAGACCGAGGGCAAGATGCAGCCAGATGAATTTTTTGGCATCTTCGACACTTTCTTACAGTCATTTGCAGAGGCCAAGCAAGATCTGGAGAATATGAGGAAGAAAAAGGAAGAGGAGGAGCGCAGGGCACGCATGGAGGCCATGGTGAGGATCTGGGCACAGGAAGATGTTTCCTTCCCTCACCTTTTCATGCCTTGAGAAAAATTCCAGTGCTCATGTCCTGTCACTGTTTTGTGTTCTTCTCCCTGACACCTCTCTTTGGAATAATTCTGTTCTTATATATGACATTTTCCCTGCTGTCTGTTTTGTCAGCTCTCGAGGGTGTACTGTTTGACTCTCAGATTACCTCCTTTTGGATTCAGATACCAAATCTAGCCCAGGCATTTTTGCCCTGGCACTTTGCAGGATGGGGTTACCACCACCCCATGCCAGACTATCCTGCTTTTGGGCAGCAAGCAGAGAAGCCAGATTTCCTTCAGTCCTGCCAAGCTGGTCAGCTTCCAGTCAGACTCCATCATCATCTGCTGTGTGCCTGTCATCTGGCAGTGCACAGTGACACAGCAAATGCCCTGGCACCTGCTGCAGCCCCCACACTGGCAGTATTTGTCTCTGGCCAGCCTTAATGCCTTCATTACTGGGGCTGTGTCTGGTCTTGACATGGCAGGAGAGCTTTCTGTGGGTTTTGCTGCTGGGAGACAGACGTGTGTGTCCCCAGGGGTTCGTGTGAACCAGCCTCCCCCTCTAACCCCAGCCTCTGTGCTGCCTGAGAACTCAGTCCCTTGCCTCCTTTCCCCCTGCTGACGCCTTAGCCCTTGCTGCTGCCATGGCCCCAGGCCGCGCTGCGGGGAGTTGCTTGCTGATTTAAATGTTTGCTGAGCCAAAAGCCGTGGGTTTTGCCTTTCAGAAGAGGAGAGAGGTAAAACACCGGGATTCCAGCAGCCTTACTGTTGGACACAGGGATAAAATGCCAGGACATAGGCTCAAGTTTCCTCTCAGCCAGCCTGGAAAGTTCAGGGCCCACTGTTAAAGCACTGTAGGATGGTTTCATAGGCCTAATACGCCATGAGGGAGGCCTTATGGAAAGAGTCTTCCTGCAGTGTGGGGCTAACATTTGCAGAGTGAGTGACCTGCTTCTCAATAGCCACCATCCCTTGCCAATGCTACTGATTCTGCAGCTGAGCGTTGGAAAGAGAGAGCTGAGCTGGCACTGTCCTGCTGTAAAATTAGTGCAAAACAGCAGCAACGTGGAGAGATGGAGAGATCCCGTGTGTCCTCTTGCTGCAGGCCAGTTGTGCTTTGTGAGGCAGACGTGTGCCGCTACTCATTCCTCATTTCTCCTGCTTTCTTCTCGCCTGCATAGAAGAGAAGCCCAGCATGGCCTCTTGTTGCTCTTGGCACAGGTGATGGCCTTGTGGATAAGCTCCTACTCTTTTTTTCCCCTTAATCTGTGCTGATGCATTTTAGCTACTTCTTGGCAGTGTACCTAGTGACCTGGCATCTTGATTAGCTAATCCTAAAACTCTGTGTCCTTCTCCACAGCTAAAAGAACAGAGGGAGAAGGAGAGGCGACAAAAGAAAGCAAAAGCTGGAAGCATCTCTGAAGAGAGTGGGGAGTTTGATGACCTGGTGTCAGCATTAAGGTCGGGTGAAGTCTTTGACAAAGACTTATCCAAGCTCAAGCGTAACCGCAAGCGTTCGGGGAACCAAGGCTTAGAGACAAGCCGTGAGCGGGTGGTGACAAAGCTAAATTATTAACTACAAGAGGAAGAGAAATAATCAACCAAAAGAAGGTGTTGAAAAAGTGCAAAACAAGGAAGATGAATGTGTGTGATGGCGCCTGGCTGACAGCTGCCCCAAAGGCTTTGGTCAGTAGCTAGAGACGTTACCTTTCCATGATCAGCTTTCCTCTCACCCCTCTCTGTGCTCCTAATTTGAACCATTATAAAAGTGCCTCTGTGGATCCAGCAGGGCCTGTGACTGGGCCATGCAGAGCTGACAGATTTGCTTCTGGGAGTTTGTTGTGTCATCAAAGGCCTCATGGTGATGACAGAAAGTACTTGGGCCTTGTGGACAGCCTCACAGCTGGAACAAGATAATTTTATGTGTGCCAAAGTAAAAACTAGTCATGATCTCCATCTTGCTGATAACAAGGAAGACTAATTTCAGACCAACTCTGTAAAAAACTATCACTTCTTCAGGATCTAGACTGGCCTTCAGGGGTTTGTTGGGATGTGGTTCTCAAGTTTCCAAACCCTTCTAGAACTGGATTTTATAAGCCATTGATTAGCACCTGGAAAATGCATTTTAGCTCATGTCCTGTATAGTATTTTTGTGTGGCCTACACTGTCCAAAGCAAGTGAAGCTTAGAAAGAAGTCTTCAGTTTCTGTAACAAAATGAAAATCAAGAATCAGGATCAACGTACAATAATTTGCAAGAGTCTTTTGGATTCTGCTTTGCTAGAAGGAGTTTTCTGGAATTTCTTGGTGGTTGAGTCTCCAGGCTGTGAAATGCATCTTCTTGGAAAGAAACTCTGGCTTTCCTTTAGAAAACTAAGCCACTGCCAGGTTGGGATTACAAGTAGATGACTGTAGAGTTTGTTGTCATTGCTGGAGGCTGGCAGAGAATCAGTGGAAAATTTCTTATCTTTCTGTGCAAGATTGGAAATTGGGAGCTCCCTAGTATCATCCACAGGTCTCCAGTAGCAAACAGTGAACAGGTTCACTGGCTGCCAGAAGTGAGATTTCTTTTCCACTTGATGCTAGCTGTGATTGCTGTTGGCATGAACTGGTCTTTCTGTTTAACAGCCTGGCCACCACTTCACACCCCACTCCTGCTGAGGGGAACCACATCACTCAGAAAGGTATGAATGGTGTCAAAGGAGAGCCATGGAGCATGCTGACTTTTTCCTTTTGAAGAAATCACTTGGGATGAACTAAGGGAGAGCTCCATAGTTAAAACTGAGAGTTTTTCAAGGAGGACACAGAATTGTGTAAGCCAATCAGGCTTTGGAGTTGAGTTAATTCAGAAGAAACAAATAAATTTGTAGTTAAGTTACATGAATTAAGTATATAAGCAGAAAAGCAAAGAACCCAAGAAGAGGCTTGAATTCTGTGTGTCTTCATGGTTCTAGGAAAGGAATTGGATTGTGTGGGCTGTCATGGCCTTTTTTTTTTTACCTTTTTTTTCAAACTTGTCTTCTTTTTTTATTATCTTCCCTGGAGAAGGAAAAGAGGAAAAGAAAGAATGGTGATGGATTCTTCCTCCTAGACAGGAAGAAAAGAGAGAACATTTGAGAAGAGGGGCCCACCATCTACAAATTGCTGCATTAGTCGATAGCACAAATGTCAAGGAATCCCAGGAAAGTTTAATCATTTGGTTTGATTTTTCTCTGAATGTCACTTAATCTCAGGCTCTGCACTGAGTCTGCAGAACAGAACTTCCTCTGCAATGCACGCTGCCTGATCAGTATTACACACTACAATGTTGGAGAAGCAAACTGTGGTGGTTTTCTGAACACTTTGAGAGTTAAATAATTATGTAAACTATTAAAAGCAAAAAAGAGAATTGAGAGAAGAGAAGCAGAAAAGTCAGAATTGTTAAACTCTGATGTTTCATTGTTTACTGGATTTTGAGTCTCCCACCCCAGAATTTCCCTATTTAGGACATTCCAGACTGCCGCGCCTCTGTATAATACTCATCGTAAAGAGCTGGTATCTTACAAGAGCTGGGTGCATTCTCCTCCCTTATTATCCCACTCCCCTTCTGGGATTAGCTATTAACAGCAATGCCTATTGCAGTGGACACAAGCACCTTGTAGAAGAAAGACTATTTCATAAAGGTTTTTGAAAGTTTAAGAAAAAAATCTCACTTTTTTAAGCATTTTTATTTTAAATTACAAATGGATTTTTAGAAATGTCTCTTGTAAATTATATTAACAAGCTCCTTGCTGCTCCCTGAAGTAGACTTGCTATATATCCCAGCCCTTTTGTTTGTCTTGTTTTAAAGCATGCCATGTAACCTATGCCATGTAAGCCATATGAGAGGTGGTAATATGTGCCAAATTGGTATACAGTTGAGTTTAGATTTGAATAATCCCTGAATTCCAAAGATTATGCTTTTAGGCATTAGAACATTGTAGGGCTTTTTTCCTCCCTCTTTGTTCTCCCTGGGTTTAGGACTCACCCAGAACTTCACGTGTAGTGCCAAGGTCAGTCCTAGTGCAAAATGATGTGCAAGTACAGCTGCTTGCCTGTTCCCCAGGTACTTGTTTGATAAGGCAGACTGTCAGCATGGCAGCTGCCAGAGAAGAAACACCTCAGGGCAAACCCTTTGAATATAAATACAGCATTTCCCCTGCCCCAGTATTTGTCAAACCAGGTTTGTGCTGTGCTTTCTGAAACTGAAGTCACTTTGCCAGGCACAAATGTAGCAAAAGCAGAGAGAGTGATAAATCCTCTGTCCCTTTGTGTACACAGTTCAGCCCTGATTTTTTAAAGAGGTCCTGCATGATGGTACGCAACAACACTCCAGCCGCACTGGGAGTCAAAGAAAGCTGCTATAGTTTTGCCACCTCTTTAACTCATACATTAATAATGAGAGATTGTGCAACTCCTGTAAATCAGCTGTGGGATCCTTAAGGGGATGGACAGAAAGCTCAGAGTCATGCCCCGATTCAATGCAGCTCAACTTTCTCAGCACTCCAGTACCCCAGGCTCTCCGTTTTGAATCAGCGATGGTGGCCAAAAGTTTTGTTCAGTGTGCTGGACAGTCCCCCAGGCTCTTGACTCCATGGTGAAAGTTCATAAAGAAGGTTTTGGAAAAGCTCAGTTTCACACTGAGGCAAGCAGTGTTTTCATACAAGTGGTGACAAGCAGAGTGGCCCATTAAATTACCAACTGTATGAGATGAGGTTACCCACACAGAAGATAAGGAAAAAATTGGCTCTGCTGTAGGGCCTGGCATCAGATTCTTGCTGAAGTTTGTCCATGTTTCTCATCTCTTGGGTACTATGTGTGCATATAATGCTCTCTTCTTCAGCAGTTTTAGTTGAGTTGCCGGGTGCTGAAGGAGAAAGGAAAATCTTATTCCTGGGTAGGTTTAGGAAGCGGTCTGAGGTCTAACATCACTGAAGAAGCTGGAGAAGAGCTAGGGTCTGCTGTTGTCCTTGCACCTGTGCATAGAACCAGCAGTTGGAAATAAGTAGAGAAGAAGGAGATGTGAGAAAAAAAGGCATAATTGAGGGCTTGTTCTGCTTTCTGCAGAAATACAGTAGTTGCTGACTTTATTATGAAGTTCCTCACACCTAGAAGAGCTACTTCTGAACTCTCCAGAATTTATCCCTAGAGGTTTAGTGCTCACTCACCTCTGCGTCTCTGCACTGTTGCTGTGCAGGTTGCATGAGAATGAGCCCAGAAAAGACTGAAGAAGACTCCCTCCCCCTTCCACTTGCTTTGAACTGAGTCACTCTTCTCAGTGTATTGTGTCTCTAGAAATGCTACAAGGTAAAGTGACTTCAAGGAGCAAGACTCTTCCATGCTCTGTATCACAGCCATTGTCCAGGCACCAGTTCCCTACGAGAGCAGAAGTAGGACTAGTGTTCAGGGCTGAGAGACTTCCTCACTAGGGAAAAAACCTGGATGTCCTTCAGAAGCATTTCTGTAATGTGTTCACAATGTCTGAGGAAGGGAAAGGAATTAATTGCAAAGGATCCTGGTGGGAGACTGTGGGGCAGGTGTTTCCACAATGATCAGCCCCACTGGCTAAATCTTTCCTTTTCTTTAGGAAAGATCACACTTTGAGCTGGGTTGCACGGGAGAAGCTTGTGTCAGGAGTTTCTGTGAGGGGAAATGAGATCCGTTGTACAGTAGATGATGTACATGATATATGCAGTTTTGTTTCTAGGTTGGTTGTTTTGGGTTTTGTTTGTCTGTTTGTTTGGGGGTTAAATGATTTAAAAAAAAAAAGGTTTTAGGAATCTCTAAGGGGAACCTGTAAATCTGACACCTCTATTTATTTTGCCTTATTTTAGTTTGCTATGTTTGTATGTATGTATGTATACACTGCATTACAGCAAAGACTATTGAGACCGTGCCAGGGCATTACACCAGCTGGAGAGCTGGCTTGGCTCCTGTGCCAGCTGAGCCAGACCAGGGGATGCAGGTGAGCAGTCTTGGTGTGGGAAGGAAGGGAGGGAGGAAAAAAAAAAACCTTTTGGCTTTTGTCATAATTACTCTGCCTCTGGTGATCCTGGTTCTTGGAAAGCTCTCATTTTGAAGCTTGTGGTGATCTGATGGAGGCTGGTTATTTTAGACCACTTTCTACAAAAAATGTTTGTTTTTTATCATGCATCATGGTGAGAAGATAGAAAAGAGTTAAGGTGCATAGTTGCACGCCCAAACTTCACCCTTCCACACAGATTTGGTCCATTATTCCAGAGAAGCTTGGCTACATGGCCAGAAGTGGTTGGTGCCCTATAACTTCTCACCAGATTTAACACACTAGTGAGAAAAACTGGGACAGTTCTCCTTCCTCAGAGCTAATATTCCTCCCTATCTTTATGGCCAAAGAATGATTTCATCTACTTTACCTCTTTCCTCCTCCAGCCCACCTCCTCAGGTTACCTCAGGTAAGCAAAATCTTTATACTGATTGGTTTGTAGCCCATGGAGTTTCTGGCGATCAGAAGGTGTTTGGCCATGGCTCCTTGGATTCTGTGCTTGACACAGGAGGTTTCTGATTGCCTGCCATGCAAAGAGGTAGTCTCCATTGGCCA